GAAGTAGAATGTTGGAGAGGGGTTGATTAGAATAACCTTCACCGTTGGGACATCTTTGAGGAGAGAATGCGCAATTGGTGTCCCGGCAAAGGAAGCACCAATTATCACAACGGTTGTTTTGGTTGGTGTCATGGCGGTCGTCTTCTCTTTGATATTCTGCGTGGTTCAGTGATTGCTGGTTGGTGATCTAACCTCATATTTATAACTACCCCTATCCCGTTCTAAGCAAGCGCAAAGGATGGTCGCTGAGATGTATAATTACTAATGCTTAGAAACTGAACAAGGATCTTAGCTTATCCTTCAAGACTTGCCCTAACCTTATCTGGTAAGATGTGCAGCTGGGGACTGGCCCGTCGGCTGGTCCATGAATCCTTCAGGCCAGCACGTATTGAAAACACAACCAGCTTATCTTATTTGAGTCAACAGCAGACGGCGAAGGAATTATCTGCAACGGGGTTTCCTTGCCAGACAATACTACAAGGCCAACGCAAGACTTTTGATCATCAGCCACAAACCACTAATTGGCTACCAGGCAGATTATTGGGATGGTAGGAGGAGGTAATGTACTTTTAAGGACTAGCTTAGTCTCTGGCTCTGAGACCAGCTTTATGATCATTCATCGCCGATCTCAGATGGACAAGGGATCCATGTAATAAAGTAAGCTGAGGTGAGGTGTCTGTGGGTCTGTGACAATCCATCTTATTGTTCAACCATACTACGTGTAGACAAGTTGATGCATAAGATGACCTGGACTTTTACTGTGCTGGAAGTGGTTTTATGGACTCATCACCTAAAGCTGGAAATACATTCTTTTAGTCGCCTGGTGGGAGATATTACCAAACAAGACACCTCCAATCTCCCAGCAGAAGGGGCTAAAAGCTCCAATAAACAGCTGTAATATATTGCCGACCAACCACAACTCTGTTTATCTCTGGTTTACTGTCCAAAGTCGAAACGTGGGTTCTGTTCCCTCGCCGTAACCCACGCCCTTCAAAAATGCGCCCAAACGATCCACCCGACTGTTACTCATCATGCTGCCGGCCAGCGACGTCCAGGCATTATCTCCACGTATGGTAACAGTTGGAGTCAGGCCATAAACTTAAAGTTCGAGGTATTATTGAATCGTGCCATGTTGCGTTGCCAGACCTGGACGAGCCTTGGCACCATCAGCACCATGTGGAAGTACGAGAGACTTAACTTATTGTACGTTGGAAAATTGATTTCATCGCAGCTGAATGTTACTGACACAGATAGATCTACTATCCGCTATGACGGCCAGACTACCAATGTTTCAATCTCAGATGAACATCCTTCATCTTCAAAACCACATATCCAGTGGAAATCTTTGCCCGCCTCTTCTAATGTCATTTCAAATCTGCCAATCAGCCCTGCAACCACATATCGCAGCGCTGCTTGAGCAAAGACTTTTCCACGACAAGACTGCTGTCTATGTAGGAAGGTGATCAGGGCAAAATTTGTTGATGGGCCGGCACAGTTGCTGGCCATACATTGCCCTACTGTTGGTGTTGCCGTCGTTCTTTTGGGTCTAGCGCTCGAGGACAAATTCATCACTATCGGCGCCCCATACTTTCAAACAGTAATTGATTGTATAGGGACACAGCAGGATACGTGTCCCTTGAGGCACACGCATACTCGCCACAGTAGTTAACCGGACAGCCTCACGAACTGTGATAGGAATGCGTGGATACAAGCGGAGGGCTTCACAGCAGACGCTATTTAGGAGGCATATAGAGTTGATGTCATCACAAGTAAGCTCATAGCTGGCTGACGGAATTTTACTTCGGATCTCTTCTCACAGACACTTCTCGTATTCAGGATGAAGACGTCGGAGATAGCAAGCGTACATTAAGGTAGAAGACAGGCTGTCATCCTGAGATATTAAACAGCGACAATGTCAGTTCCAACTACTTCGAACTGGCACCCCGTACAAGAATACAAGCTGCTTACTCCAGCGGAAAGAAAACATCAGTAAGGTTACCTTCAAGTAGCATGGTTGTCATTATCTCGTTTTCGCCTTCCTGTACGGATGGTTTACGCGACAACATGAACGCTGGCTTCTTTTCAAGAATGGCCCTGCAAACACCACGCATGAACCTGGCTTCAGCATCAAAAATAGTATCAAACCTCCAGGTGATTTTCTTTGCCAGCCACACTGGAAGGAGGAAATGTGTGATTATGAAAAGCAAAATTTTTCCTTGGTTGGTCCGTGCATAAAGAGAAGGCTCTTAGTGACTCTATCCCCTGGACGTTCAAGCGAGTCAAAATCCTGCCCTGTAGATAGAATGCCAATGGTATCGAGCATCAGACGAGTATACGGAACATTAGCGAAAGAACTTTCATATCTTGATTCTTTTCATTTATGAAACTTACTATGTCCATGACCCGATTTCCACCGTTCTGTTGCGGAGGTTGGTTTGAACAGGATCTGCATCTCTTTCTGCCTCTAACTTGGCTAGAAGCTGTCTAGTCTTTTCTAGAACATAGTATATGAAGTCTTGATATGCCTCATACTGAATGCAGGACTCAGCATCTTACGCAAGTGCTTATGGCCTTGTCTTCAGCCAACAAAATTCCGAATGCCCCGACATAACTTTCCTACTAGTCATTTCTTGATATATAGGATGATGTTGGAAACGAGTTAAATATTTCATTGAGGCCGAATTCAAACCAGTGGATATACACGTAGTTTAATTTAAGATTTTAAAAGTTTCTGACCATATTTCTACCTCAGCATCCACTGGTGCATTACTGCAAATCCTCGACAAAGTTTGCGTGGAAATAGCTTTCAAAAGTTAGGGAAATAGCTTTAAAAGCGAACACTACATAGCAAAAATGCAGGTGTAGTCTCGCTGGCCAAACGACTAGGTCCCCTACGGTCCACAAACATAAGACCAGAAGGCATGGAACACAAAGAGATCATTATTGTTGAGGACTGCCTGATGAGCATTTACAATAACATTCCTGTCATAGCCCAAGAAATGCAAGACGGTTTTACGACAGGACCACCAGGCAAGGAGATGAGAATTGCATTCCAGACGGCCTAAGCACGTATCCAAGGAAAATAGCCGGTCACGCATGGAATGACAGTCATACTCCTTAGACAGTTAGGTTATTAAGATTTAAAGGAGCGTGTAAGTCTCAAAAGAAGCTTATAAGAGGGACAGCCCCTGTTGAGCAAAGATAACGCCGTGTCAGGACTGGTTCGTTAGCTGTTTCCCATCCATCGCCCTCTCCGCAACTGTATGGCTCCACCACGCGACTCTCATCATTGGCTTGCTCTTTACTTCTCGCACCTTGGGGAATCTCATGGAGAACTGTTCGCATAATTCCACGGAGATCCAAGAGTGCTGCTAAGTGATTCTGGGAATATGCGCCACTATGATGGTGGCCTGCTTAGCCTTCCGGTAATTGATTATTCCAACACCCAACTCGACAACGTCGTTGACCATGCAGAAAGTGTGCTTGAAGAGTATGGCAACCTTTCCGCCAATAACTGCGAAGCGCCAAGAATAGCACAGTCGCCATCACCTGGCAGGGACTGCGCGGTTGCGACACTCAACATCAGCGCCCTGAAGGTAAATGAACGACAAATCAAAACCCTATCAGTTGGGCCCTTTATTAATAAGATTCAACGTTCCAAAAGGATGATAGCCGCAACCATAAATACACTCCCCGGTCCCCTGGAAACGAATGGCGTGATTTCTTACTAATATTCATCGAAAATGCTCGACTGTGAATGATGAGCATTTCATGGCTATTACTAAGAACATTGATTATGGGTTCAAGGTGTCGTCGCAGCTTTTGGCTGAGCCCATATCTGGAAGAAAATGTTTGATTTGGGAGACCTTCAATAAAGGCAGAGATCCATAAGCTGTACTCGTCGATCAAATGGATCTAGGGGACGCGCGGAGTTGTATGCGGTTCCTGGTGTCCTTGTTTCGTAGTTGATCCAGCCTCTTGTTCCAGAAGCTGTGGCGGGCTTTATGGATATTGGGGAGTCAGAGATCAGTCCTTCGTATGAGGAGATCCTGAGTGTTTTATTTTCTGTTATCGCCGGCTATTCGAGAATCTTCACAGTTTTTGATGCGCTGGACGAATGCGGAGCTTCACATATAACTCACTCAGACAACATTGGGCAATGCTTCCGGAAACAGGGGAGGAAATAATACAAAACTCAATGTAAAATCACGTCATATTCATTTTTTGGACAGCGAGTTTGAAAAAGAGGCGCGCTACTTGAGATTCGTGCTCTCAGTGAAGAGACATAAAGGTATCTTGATGATGACGTAGCCCAACTACTCGCATTCGTCCCGCAGCCTCCCGGATTGTGAGGAAAATAAAAAAAACGCAATTATCAAAGCAGCTGATAGGGTGTGAATCTGTGCAAGCTGGTTATGTTAACATGTCACTGAATCTTGTTTTAAGTTTCTCCTCATGTATCTTTTTGTAATTGTTAATGGATACAGGCGCCTCCTAGAGGATGGCTAATTTAAGGACGAAACGTCCTTTTCATTTACTTCCGCCGCGGCAGATCAGCGATCCACTAAGAGTTAATCTATGTTACATCGGCTGAAGCTTGTGTTTGAAAGATATATGTGGCTGTTACTACATCTATACTCTAAGCGTCATCATCGTTCTCTATCTAGAGTAGGTGTCATTGATCCCTGATCCCAGACACAGATAAGGACGCAAAATCCACTATTATTGCAAATCAGAGCAGCCTATCAATCTTTCCTTCTACTGGCAAGACGCCCTTCATATTTCTATTGCCACTTTATGCAACCAGAAACTACTTCCCACTATGACTGATGAAAGTATGTGCTTGTTCACCATTGGCTTCTTCATCCTGAGCTTTTAGTTCCCCAGTGGCTGGTTTCCCCAGCTGTACTATGTTGGTATTCTGGGAGACAGCCTAGCAATTCTTTCTTCTACCATACGACTCTTCTACCACAGACCAGTCGTGATCACCCTCATTAACTATGAGTGCAGTTGCGAAAGGCAAGGTAGAGCTCAGGTCCTCTGAAGTCTACCTTGAAGAAGAAGGCCGAGACCCTATCGTCTTTGAACTTTCTACGATCGAGCCTATCGGCAATGCTCAAAACCAACCTTACGCCCGACTGAAGCCGGCCACGATGGACTCAACACCTCTTATCCGCCTGGATTATACCCTTTACGAGCTTTACTCCGTGGATAATGAGGACTGGCCAAACATTACCCTCGTATACTCTTTTATGGAAGAGTCGGCGGTGAAATTTACGTACCAGTATGAGTTGCAGGAGACGCAAAAGACAGCCGAGCCCTCCGTCATGCTGGATACGAAGCTTAAGCCTCAGAGACATGGGTTTATCGCTGGCAAGATGCCTCTAGCTATCCTCTACGCGGGCTCCCAGTGCAACGACCAAGCTCTAGATACACTGCGCGCCGACAACGCTGATGTCTTTCGAAACTTTGCTCAGTTACCTTTTGACCAGCAGCCGATTGTGAGCTTTGCGACGAGTTCAGAAAGTATATCTGTAGGGCCAGGGGCTCATATTGCAGTAATGTTTCCCGCAGACTGCGTCCTGCACTTACCGCATCTCGTGGACCCTGAAATCCACTATGAGCTACTTTCCAAACCTGGTTTGGCTAGGTCAGGACTGCCAACGCCGCCATCCGAGGTTATCGATACCGTTCTCACTCCACACGACGTACACGATCAGGACCTACTGAAGGGTGAAATTTCCAGAATCACCCAGCTACTGGACAATCACGAACTGCCATTCGTTCTAAAGCTCCCCCAATCAGCCTCTGGGATGGGCGTCTTTAAGGTCGATACAGATGCCCAAAGAGCAGATGTCAAGGCAACACTCGCAACGCAGCTGGGCCGGATGCTCCAGCAAATTAACGAATCAAATCATCATATGCGTCCGTGTTCTTTAGTGATTCAGCGCTTCATCCCTGGTACAACAATGGGCTTATCTCTTTTTGTAACAAAGAAGGGGCGGCCCATCTTTATAGCGTGCTGTGATCAGCAATTAGACGGAGATGGGCACTGGGTTGGTTGTTCAATCTCTTACAAGCGGCAACCGGAGTTCAAAGAAGCCTATCGCGACATATCAGAGAAGGTCGCCGCTTTCCTGCATCAGAAAGGCTATTATGGCCCCGTTGGGCTAGACGTAATAACAGATGCGTCTGGGAATCAGTACATTGTCGACCTCAACGCCCGTGTCACTGGCAGTTACCACTTAGGACCGCTCGCGGGACACTTTCTTCAGCGCGGCCTGCTGGAGGTAACCTTTGTGCAGGCCTATTTCCTTTATTCTAGGGCCGCATTTGAAGCGGCTTTCTCGGACGAAATCCAGAAGGGCAGCTTGGTAATCAGCGGCTGGGCACACGCCGAGTCGACACCACTCAGCCAAGCTGCGATCAATATAGGAGGCCGGGATTCCTCCGAAGTGGAGGAGAGACTCAAGAAGATCAGAGATTTTGCTGTTCCTGATAGAACGATGTGAAGAGAGAACGCCTAAAAGGAGTTTAAGGATACACTTCGATCACCCGCAGGCAGATTTGCTTCAGAACGAAACCTAGTATTCAGTATTGTGTTAATTCATAGATGTAGATTGATATTTAGATTTCCCGTTATGTATGGCAACGGCACGGCCCTACACCCGAGATCGCCTGCTCGGAGCGCTTCTAGTGAAGGATGAACTGATCAGTCGACATCCCAGCTAGGACTACCGGTCACCGTATCAGTAAGGTCGTGCATTTTGAATGGCGATAAAGCTACTTTTGGAGGGCGCTGTCGGGGCGGGTTCTGACCAGGCCACACAAGAACTGTACAAATGCATATTATAACTGGTACGTAGCACACTGACTTTAGCTCCCACCTGTAACATTTGAGCGAGCAGTTGATAGACTACCGGAGATTATACAAGAAGGTGCCAGTTAAGTCAGACGCTGTTTAAGTTGTTGAGCCATGGCACATGTCAGTCGAAGCGGGTGCGACCCGTTGCCGGCAATGATGTATTCCGATCAACGATGCGCCAGATCAAAGAGGAGAGTCGATCTTCGGATCTAAGATCTGCTCTCTTACCCATCGAATCTCCTCCGCAACAACTTCCGGTCGAATCAAATGCACATTATGCCCACAGTCCGGCAAATGAACCATCCGACTCCGTCTAGACAGTCTCAACTGCTCTTCGTGCATCTCACGATCCAACCCATCCCATTTCTCCAGTAACTCACGGAACGCCGCTCGCTGAGCCTCTGTCCCATTCCCAGTCTCGACAGCCTTCTCGTAGAGTCTCCGGTAGTCCATCAACCCATTACACCGAATCACGCTCAAAGGCCGATCCCCAAGCGCCTGATTCTTGAACTGCTCTTTCTCAGCAAGCGCATGACAAACCTCCTCCCTCATCATCGCTTCAGCCTCCGAAGTAGCCGTCCCCCGCGAAATGTCAATCGCTCTCGCCCTCCATTCTTCCCGAGAGAGCTGAGCAGCAGCACGCAGCCCCGTGACCTCTGCAAACTTCAAGTTACCCACCATAGCATTGAGGTCTAAATCGGGGTTCTGGAATAGCTCGATGTTTCGCTCGGTTGAGGCGTCCATGAGGACCATTCCTGCGACCTCGCTTGAGTAAAGATGGAGATATTCCCGGGCGATGATCGCGCCATAGGAGTGAGCGGCCAGAATAAGTGGTGGAGGGATGTTTGCGGTGGTGAGTAAGGTGTGTAGCTCGGTGGCTGCTGACGTGGCCGTTGGGTTTGGTGTGTTTGGATTCCTTTCGCTGCGCCCGAGACCGGAGCGGTCGTAAAGGGCGAGCGGGGAAAAGGAGGCGACAAGCCGTTCAACGGCGCAGTAAGACGATGCGACGTCGCCTGCGCCAGCGATGAACACTACGATAGGATCTGGCGGGTCGCAGCGGGGCGGGCCGCTGATGGAGAGGTAGAGGCGATGGGTGCCAATGGAGACCATGGTATCTGTACTCTTAGTGGATAAAAATAGGTCCATTAAGAATTGCAAGTCGATGGTATATGGGATAATACACCCCGCGATAAGTGGCTTGTCAGCTTAAGGATCTAGGGCCCGATCAGTTTAGCCTAATATGTCAGTGTGATATTGGCTCAGTCTCGGCCTCGGCCAAGGCGCCAGGTGAGCACCTTTTATGCAGGAACTCGTTTGGGTGCTCTTAAATGATTGGTCTTACGCCGCTTAGCCATCGTGTAGGCAGTATGAGATTCGATTGGTGGCATAGAATTATTAGACTAGCAAATAATGGCATGGCTTGATACACATTAATGTCTGTGGAGAATCCGTTGTTTTTTCTCGCTCTGTTGGCCATGTCCATGCCACGTACACCTGCCTCTATAAATCCATGAAACTCCAAAACGAGAGTGCAACATTAATCAACACAGCCGGTTTATCGTGGACATGATAATTGGTAAATTGGAGGTACGGTCTCCGCGCTAACCGACTTAACATTTTTCGAGGTATGTGTCCTAGAACTAAATACTGGCAAATTTTTGGGTATCATCACGCCCCGTGGCTATGGGAGCAACAACCGGTCGTTCCTGGTATGGAGCAACATTTTCAACTCTCCAAGTTCTGATATTAAGCTGTCCCAACTTGGATCAATGTGCATAGCCTGGCGAAGAGCGGTGTGACGGAGTGACAAGGGAAATACCCTAAGCCCGCCACGCCTAGCGTTCTATAGTTATATGTCATGCTTGTTTCTTGTCCGATCCTTTTCCCGCGAAGAACGACTGAGCAGCCCACGGAGCAGGCCAGGCCAGGGATCCGGGGATATCTTTGTGATCGTCCCCTGATACAAGATGATCAATCACTGCGATGAAGATATAGGCGCCAATTCCAGTGCAGATATGCCACCTACCGTCTCCGGCGTTAGTATTATTATTCAAGAAAAGGAAAGAGGACAGAAATAGCTAAGGAACTGGTACATACCATCCATGAAGCTCCAACAAAAAAGCCCAGGGAAGACCCACAGTCTGTCTGATGCTTTTCAGGTAGGAGCACATCCACACATCAACCAGCCAGAGCCAGTACCCCAGGTTGAATATAACTTCACGATGACGTTAGCAGGAGTCCCAATGTTGACGTAAGGTGAGTATATTACCAGCGCCAAACCGTACCATCCCCCAGATCTGCCTTCGAGCCTCCGAGCCCGCCAGTGTGCGAGTGTTGATCATTCGCATGGTAGAAATTCCGATGACGGTCACGGAGCTAACAAAGGAGATAGAGTGTAAGAGCATTTCATCTGTCTTTACGTGGTAAATTACAAGGGCGAGAAGGGTTGACCCCAGGACCATGCCAACGACGAGCGTGACTCTGGGGCTGGCATTGGCAGTCATGACGCGGTGGAGCACCGGGGTTGTTGTGAACAGCATGGAGATGTCGTCCACTGATGAACAGAGTAAGCCAGGGGAAATTATCAGAGGCAGAAGAAAATAAATGATAATGGAAACCTACACATCTGTGTGTGGTACTTGAGGCTGACGTGGAATAGAGCTGAACAAATTCCCACAGCCATTAACCCCCAGTATGGTACGGTGCGAAGGAAACCAGCATTTGGTTTCTGCCGCAGCTGGTAAAGTCCATAGATGGCGTAGATTACTGGACAGGTTTTTCAGTGGGATTGTGGTCTCAACCGAAACTGAAGAGAGCGCTTACTGTATACTACATTGGTCAAGCTGTTGATGAATTCCGCAACATATCTGGTTACCATGTAGTCCTAAAGCAGGTCAAACAATCAATCAGTTGCATGCGATGAGACTCGATGTACAAGTTGTGTGATGCATAGCTACCTCCTCACAAAAGCTTTCAGATGCGAGTTAGTTGACAATGCTTGCAAGAAGCTGTCTGCACAGGCTGAGTAGAGAGTACTGACTTGGAGTTCGCCGTGATCGGACCCCAGAAAGGGGTATCTGAGTCATCTGAGATCATCTTTGCTGCTTGTAGCTTGAGGGAAGATGTACTACTGGAAGTTTAAAGAAACGAATGTCATGAAGGCGAGAGACACAAACACATAGAAAAGCGAAGGAGGGGCGGTGGGCAGGCAACCACAATAACCCACTAGGGGCTTACAGCGGACGAAAGCGGGTCAGACACCGGAACCAAATGATGACTGCAGGTAATGTAGAATTAGTAGGCAAGGGTATCAGAAAAATAAATGAATCGCCATGTCTCACAAAACTATCTGATTCCTCACTTTMCTCTCAATCTCCGCCTGCGCTCTCTTAGTCGCGTCGAGGACAATCATCTTCTGGTCGCTCTTGCAGTAGGAATGCTGCTCATCGATGTGGCTATTGATCTGATACAAATTGAATAAGAATAGATTGCCAAAATGGTCGAAATTTGCAAGAATCAGACGCGACTAATAGCTGGCGAGCTTCCATAGGAACCATCCATTTTAGGACTGGGCCAAACGTGCAGCACAAACGCGATTCAGGGATAATGAAGCTGTGCGTTCGGCACAATCGCGGACCTCAATATAATCCGATGGCAAATTGCAATGTTTAAAGGTTGCAATGCATTTTTTCCATCTCCCAGCCATGATGATTTACCTCCAAGGAATTGACCGGTGGGATAAGCATACGCGCCTTCGACCGGTTGACGGACTTCAGTCTTGCTTAAGAATTGTCCTAGTTGTGAACATCTGGACTCTATCCTCAATTGACTGCATTACTTTCCTATGTCCAGGATCATCCCGACTGTCTGGAGTCCACCCAACACCACGTCCTCGCTGCACTTCTGAAACCCGCATCGTTCGTAGAGTTTCCTTGCAGCTTCATTGTCTGCTTCGACTAGGAGGACCAGTAGAGCTCGCATTGTAGCGGAAGCGCCCCGGGCATATTTGACAGCTTCTTCAACAAGTCGACGGCCATTTCCCCTTCCTCTCGAGGCTGGAAGCACGAACATGCCAGCAATCATATACACGGCGACAGCGTCTCTACCATCCGCTGGTGGTGTCGTATACCGATCACCTTCCGTAAATACCTTCCACGGCGCGTTGAGATCAATTTCACTGCTAAACACGAATTTCGGCCCTCCGATGGTCACTGTCCCCAGCCATTCCCTAGACAAAAGGGCTGTCAACGCATTGTCCGATGAAGGAACGGTTCCATCCTCCTCCAGGGCGATAAAGGTCCGTGCCTGCGGGTTTTCAATCCGAGAGAGCCATTTTTGGTATGGGAAGTCTGCTTCAGTCTCGTACGTGGATGAAAAGGCCTTTGGGTCTTGTTTGAGGCCTGCTAAGCGGAGATGTCTGTACAGGTCGACGATTTTGTCCCGTTCTTTTGGTGTGGGAAAAGCCTGGGGGACACGGGCGATGTTACTCATTGTTGCGACGGACTTCAAATAGCATGAATTTTGCACATCTGCTGAGCAGGTGTTTGTGACTTATTTATTTCGTATGAGTCATATGATCAGAATGAGGTCGCATTAGAAACAGGAAATACGAGCTCAGATTACGCTAGCTGGCGATGGAACTTCAGTACTGCTGGCGCATTTGGCATGAAAAGGAGTCAACTCATCGCTCACGAATCTGACAGATAAGTTCAAAGATGCCAACTGAGGACTTGGTAGATGGTTACTTGTAGCCATGTCGCCGAGGCTATTCAGTAATCGACGCAACAAGCAAGCCACTAGTTATCGATGGCGACGTGTATTTCCAGGCCCAGAAAGTCCCACTCATTCCAGTTTCCTCTGAGTTACGCGTCGATTTAAGATAGATCTTGTGACTTTCTGTATGACAAAACAAACGAAATCTCAGGAATTGTGCGTAAGCCTCTAAAGGTGACAGGAGTGCAGGTCTCTGGTGATTAGCTCCGTTAAGTCCGACAGCTCAATCTCCCCTCGACAGAAAATCCCCAAATCATCATTCGATCTCTTACCACTCCTTCTTCTTTGATTAACGTGCGCTGTATCCCCTACCGTATCCCAAACGAGCAAAATGTCCTTTGAGTTTATTGACAACAAACTCAGCATCGATCAAGCCGCTCGAAAGCAGATCCGTCGCCATGCGGCTATGGGGAAAAATAAAGGCAAAACAATCGTGCGATCATCGAGAAAACACGCGTCAACGACGACTGTATCTTCATTTCATCTCCCTGGCATAATAAGAAAGGGGCCTTGTCCGGTGAAAGAGGATTCTTTGATTGAACGGCCCATAGATGATGGGCTGGTCTTTCCAGCGCCACTGTTTGGGGAATCGAAGGCGCTTGTGAAAAAGGGTATAGCCATCTCCTTCGCTTACTGCTGTGTAGACTGTGCTGCTGACCTGGTTTAATATGCGGTCGTTGGATTTCTATGCGCCACACGATACGCACCTCAACTGAGCGAAGCCCTCGACTTTACAGGTCACGCTTCTTCCATGTTTGTGCGGTATATATTTATCGATGAAGCTTGTGAGTTGAGAAGGTCCTGAGACTACACATTCCAATAACCCTTGCTGATGGCTCCATGACAGGCTTTCATTGCGCCGTGGCAACGTCCATATTGTGCCTTAACAACCTCGTCACCAAGCAAGAGGGTATCCTGCAAGCGATGAGTCACATATCCCACACGTTTCGCTTGGTCAACCAACGACTTTCCCGCCAGGAAGCGATCAACGATACGACCATGGCAGTTATAGTAAGCATGGCTCAGTACGAGCGGCATCAAAACCAATATCAACGAGGATTTGTCCACATTCAAGGTTTACGAAGAATGGTTCAACTTCAAGGCGGGATGTTGCAGGTTTCGAAAAGCCATCATACACTTGTTCAGAAAATGTTGCGGTATGGCCCTTGAGTGAAAACACTATACATGTTCCAACCATGCTGACCATTGTAGTGTTGACCTTGATTCTTCTCTGCAGCTGGGTTCAGCGACACTATTCAGCTTAGAGGACGCCATCAAGGAAAACAAGACGATAAATGAACTCTACGGGGACCTTAAGCGACAGAATCACGCGGGTTCCAGCAAACCCTATAGGCCCCCTTTCCTGAGAAGTCTGCCCTGCGATATTCAAGATATCTTCATTGATGTGACATCCCTTGCTTCAACACTCAACGACGCAACGCACGGAGCCAGTCCCAAGCTGAATTCCTCCACTTTTCACAGTGACCTGCTCGTACTTGGTTATCGTTTGGTGGATAGGTACACCCTGGGTGGGTGTCGTCCCGGGTGCACAGTTGAGAACGGAATCCACCTAGGCCTGACCGCGTTTTTGGTTACATTCTTGCCGGGACTAGATCGTCGTATTGCTCATAATGCTCTTCTCTTTAAGCTACTTCTCGATGCTGCTCAAGCTTTCTCAGATGACGGACTAGATATCCAGGAATTGTTACTTTGGATGCTTTATATTGGAGCAGCGTCATCGTCTCAGCTGGGGGCTCATCCTATGTGGATCTCGAAATCAAAGGAGACTATCGATACTCTGAAATTGAGGACATGGGAACAAGTCCAGGACATGCTTGCGAAATATCCATGGGTCACCCCAGTCCACGATACAGCTGGGAAGGCCCTGTGGCTTCACGCCCACCAAAACTAACTGCCAAAGAAGTGGACAACGGATCTCAAACAGAGCCGCCGCAATTTCAGCTCGCAGACGAGTACCTCATTTCAAGATTCGTTCTACGCATCCAGGCTCAATGGATTCCAACTCTTCGGCAATAGTTTCCCAGCTATGTTGTTGCCATCTCTTACCCTCTTCATCTGTCACCCAACTTGGCACGTCGTTTCTGGACAAACGCCTCTGTCAGCACCAGTCATTTTAGGTCCCGAGGGAATATTCAGACTTACTCTCCAATTTCACAGGAATGGAGCAAGAATCCATGGCTCTCTTTTCCTGCCACAGCCCCGTGAAGAAGCGTGCGGCTACCATCCTCGGCAGTCCGTCCATATTCTGCCTGGCGCTTGGCGAGGTCCTCCCTAAATTGTGCTGGTGCGTTGCGAGCCAGGTCAGTCTTGCAAAGTCCCGGACACACCAGATTCAACACAACCCCAGTGTGATCCACGGGAATCAGAGTTGCAAGATAACGTAGTGCCATTGTTGTCAAGAGCTTGGAAAGAGGATATCTATTTCTTGACATCAGACCAGCTAAGTTTAGCATCGTCTGCTGAAAACTTACGTGCGCATCGGTGGAATGTCATCTCCATCCATCTTCTTCACCGGATCATCCTTGATCTTATCCCACAGATCTTTGGCATCGAATCCAACCCGGCTGGTCACAAGGGTCAGATGAGGTACAATTCCGTATCGCTGCGCACTCTCCCTCATCTTGGGAAAGATAAGTACAGCAAGAAGGAACGTGCTGAGAACGTTGACAGTGACAGATAGGCCATGACCTTCAGCGAAGACGCGCTCTGGCACCGCAACAGCCGCATTTTCGATCACAGCATCAATCCTATCAAGCTCTGCAGTCGCCTTCCGTGCAAATGCCTTGACAGAGTCGTAGCTTGCCAGATCGAGCGACCAGACCTCAGCAACACCAATTTTTCCTGTGGATTCTTCGATTTCCTTCTTAGCCTTCTCACCCGCGCTGATGTTACGTACGGCAAGGATGACCTTTGCAGCTTCGAGGCTGACCAAGTGTTTGGCTGCCTCAAAGCCTAGGCCGGTGTTGGCGCCGGTCACAATGTAGGTACCACCAGAGCAGGTTTCGGTGGTAGCTAGAAGAGGCAGATTTCTGCGTTGAGTTTGAGCTGCAGAAGCCATGACGTACAGATCTCTGGTATTGGGGGTTGTTACACAAGTGATGATAGTCAGAATGTAAGAATGATGTTGATGTTTGCTCCCATCTCTACACGAGCCCAGGGCTGGATTTTATAGCTGTTAGCCTCATACGGTCGGCGTTTACGGACTCAACAACATTGCTACGAGCGGATTTTTGATCTAAGTCCGAGTCGATGTGACGTCTTGGACAGACTTTACCTAGTATCCTCAGATGTGTCAACCCAGCCAATGGGAGACTGGGTTCCTAATCAGGAAGGTCTTGGCGCTGTCGCGGTACTATGCAGAATGGCCATTTTCGGCGTCTTTGTCGATGATTTCCCATGGCCAAGCTCAATGGGACTTCGTAATTAATCCATTTCACCCATCCCGTCCAAGGAAGCCCAACTTCAACGCATTATAATACATGGACCACGCGAGTAATCACAACTCCAATAAAAGGACAGAATATCCAGTACTAATGCTACTAGTATCTAAACAATTAGCCTCAAAGGATGTGGTGGTGCCGTTAGGTCAGGTCGGCATTTCCCTCATGGCTTTGTGAGGGTGTCCGGTAACAATACACATATGATACTTTTAGGCTGTAAGTCAATGTATTTACGCGGTTCAAATCAACATTTCTCTGTGATTCCTCTCACTGGGCATCTCGTATGTATATGGCCAATATCGTTACACTCGCTACACTGAGGTAGTGTCCAGCAGTGAGGTTGCTCCTCGGCTTCAGCCAGCTGATCTAGCTAGATTCCAAGCGCTTCATGCCCTCTTGTTCCAAAGCTCTTAATATCTGATGGCTACAATTACCAAAAGTAGAAGAGTAGTTCATGTTGTCTAAAGATATATGGATTAGGAGCTTGTGTTCCATAACGAGATGCGCTCACAGCGAGTGGATCGGTCGCCCACAAGCAGCTTCTGTTGTATTTCCTCTAAACAGATGCACTTCCGCTCGTGTGGGCGAGTATTCAAGAGACGATCAAGCGCGCAGGGCTCCAGCAATTCTCGGACGTAACCATTTTTGTCCAGGTAAAAGTCTCAAGACACTGACCAAGGCTAACACGTGGATGGCATGATGCAACAGTTTGCCCAGCACTGGGGCAACGCGATCGACGAATCTCATCTCTCTGACCATTCTTATGTCGATATTGGGAAAGAAACCTGTCCTACTGGCCCTCACGGGTTGGCGGTGTTGGTCTCCTGGCATTGCGGCTTCGCTCCGAGTGGGATCCTCGTACAAATCCGCTAGCGCCACAGACTCTCCTCTGGCGGCGATGCTGCTTGGACTTGTATGTCGGGTGGATTGGGAAGCAGCAATCTCCAGGATTCCGTCGCCCAAAGCAACAGTTCTACTCGACCAGTCTGCTTCACGACAGTGGTAGCCTTACATTAGAGCTCTATTCATCCTCGTCACTGTCTTCGCCATTCATACATTTAACCGCTTTGAACACATCGAAGATGCCAGTTTCATCCGTAAATTTCTCTGGGCGTCCAAAGTAGATCGGATAGGCAGAGTCCTGTGGGGACCACATAAGAGAGCCATGGAACGCATCAGCTGCACGATGATCAATTCTGAAGTCGTACCAGGTATTGGCCTTTGGAGGGAGAGGTCCCCATCCGTMAAATTCGAATGTAGGCTCTTCCGGGCTAACTTCCGGGTAGTAGAAGCTCATAAGTAGACTCCCGTCTCGAGCACTTCGCTCATCTGCGATAGCGATGACATTCTGTTCAATAAATTTAACTTTAGCTTTGTACCACTTCTCTAGTGCCCAATTTCGGCATTGCTCTTTAGAGGCGTTGATGAAATCTGAATCGAAAGACTCGCCGTCTTGCAATTCAATTCTAAACCCCTCTCGCTTGTCCGGGCAGATATCCGATTCAACAAGATAGTACAGAGGAGGGGCTTCCTTCTCTGTACTAAATTCGCGCAAGGCCTTAGGTATGAACTAATAACCAATGTCAGCATTGTTTTGTTACTAATATACAGTGCGACTCTCTTCAGCCCAGTCCGACAGACTGCCAACAACGTGTCCCTGATCAATCACAGATGGACTTACAGGCTTGGCCTCGTCCGCAACACAAAATAGCAAGGTGCGTGTCATGGTAAGGAATTTATGTCGTGTCTTTCAGGGGCGTATCAGGTGTGATAAGCAGCAGTAAAAATAGGTAAGCTAGCTTTTATACTACAAATTCAAAAGTAGGGATATAATGACGTCACCATACGCCTTGGTATATTTTAGCTCGTGAACTCTTGCGTCTGCGAGATTGAATAAGTACATGTGACTATTTTCTGCGAGAGAGCGGACTCAGAGCGACATGCAACTCTCTCCTCAGCATAGTTCTTTTGCCGAGTGGGCGGTACGTTGAATCATCAATCTCACCGAATGGGCCTCGTTGCCCATGGGATCTTGATTAATGGCACGTGTTTGAACAGGAGCCCTCGTTATGTCGGTCGTATCTTGGTGAGATATACAGATAGGTCTATTCGGGACGCTGCGGGGGTGCATCTCATCAAGTGACGACGTCAACCTACTTCTCCCGATGCTCGTATTCAATCCTGCCTCACCCGATGAAATTCGTGTTATATATAGGACACTTTCCCCCAACTCCTCTGACAACCATCTTGCGCAGTTAGTCTTATAATTACAACCATTTTTGCAACCATTATCATCAATGTTCCCTTTCCGCCCAGTCAACCTTCCACCCCATGTGCTGGTTACAAGCACCACCATCATAGGCCTGAGCCTCTATGTCTCACTATTTCGCAAGTCGCCCTTGAAACATCTCACTGGACGCGACGTCTTCGTACCAGCACCTTCTACGCCTCGAGTCGCAGACACCAATGCCCTCTTCGGCGTCGTAGCATGTGCCCTGCAGCTGCCGTATTTCCTCTGCTCGTACATGCCCATTGAAGAAAATCAGTGGCTGCACGTCACTGTGCCGGTTAGACTGGCTGTTTCTGCAGCTCTTGGTGTGAATCTCCTCTTCCGCGGGCGCCGCATGAGTGAGGAGGGTTTGTGGGAGTTTTTGGCGCTGGGAGTTACAGATTTGGTGGGTGCTGTGATGCTTGGGTGGGAGTTGGGGAGGTTTGATGGGATGGTGTCGGGATTTGAGTAAACTTGGGGTTTAGCGCAGGCTTCGTCTCAGGTGAGGTGGTTGGTATGTGGCATAGTGTGATATTCAGTGATATATCCCTTGATGTCATTGCTTGTACGATGAGAGAATTCAACTCCTTCAGACTATAAGTCCAAAGAAGATGCTATATTCGGTACAGTGATTTCACATATGCAAGCTTAGATGAATCATCCCATCATTATTTGGGGAGCAACATCGGTCCACCTGCTAAGCTAGCTAATACATCAGCGAAGTGACGTCCCACTGCACATACTCTCAGCAGACTATTGGAGTTATTCCGACTACACGCAGTATTGTACTCCGTTTGGTATGGAAGTTAGGCTAAAGTGGGTGCGGGATCTGTCATTTCACCTGCCGGATCTGGCAACACCGGGGCGATCGCGGGCGGGGGAGCCTGGAGAAGGAGATTCTGGGGTTCCCCGCATGTCGGGCTTATTCCGAAGGCCAGAAACAGGACATTCACTTGATAAGATGTCGTCCATGAGTAATAGCAATTGCCTAGCTCACGGTATTCCAGCTGGAGTTAATGGCAACCAAAGGGTGGTTAGAATCCTTATCAAAAGGCTTGATCAGCGTCCACAGTGTCACTTCGGCAAGTCATGCAAAGACTGTTACGCAATCCAGGCACACGCAAGAAGCTCACTTATGTACTAATACATTTCGTTCTTCCACTATGGACGACCTGGAGAAGGATATACACAACATCGTTACTTATAGTTACCGTAAATAGGAATCGTCCCGTAGCATTGTCTTGTAAATGATTATATCATTTCAAACAGTCCTCTTAATGACAGATACTTCGGACACCCATGTTACCATGTCCATGTCCGGCTAAGATGCCAACACAGGATGTTACCCCAAATTCACACTGCGAAACCTGCACAGTGGGTCTCGGTCGTGCAGATCGCTTCTCTTTGTCCTTTCTGTGGTGGTATATAAGGGCGCCATATCCATCTGCCGACATGCTCATCGAGGTTATCAAACGTACTCTCGCGCAGCTCAACGCAGCAAAACATGTTAACCCAGAAGCACAAAACGAAACCCCACTTTGGGCTCACTGGAGGATGGCTCACCTTCTGGATCACGGTGAGCAACGGAGTAGAATAAAATCAGTGAAATACTAAGACTTAAGCAGATTGCCTGTGCTACGGACATGACATTGTTCGGCTATGACCAGGGAGTGTTTAGTATGTACAGGATTCAGTGCATACTACCAAGGGGCTAATATGTCTACTTAGGCGGAGTCGTCGTCACAGAGGACTTCTTAGCCGTCCATGACCTTGTCGGGCCAACCAAGACGAAAACCTTGTCGACCGTTACAGCTATCTACGATGTCGGCTGCTTTCTCGGCTCCATTCTAGCTTTCATCGTGTCCGAACGGCTCGGTCGGAAGAAGTCCATTCTTCTGGGAACAACCATAATGGCAGTCGGCACTATCCTTCAAGCCAGTTCTTACAGCTTGGCGCAGATGTTCGTCGGCCGAGTGATCCTGGGGTGAGTAGACCATTGATCGAGCTACATATAATAGCACAATGTTGATACCTTTAGTATCGGCAACGGAATCAACACCTCTACAGCGCCGGTATGGCAAACCGAAACTGCCACCGTCAAATGGCGAGGAAAGCTGGTCATCCTGGAAATGGCACTCAATGTCTCTGGCTTTGCCCTCGTCAATTGGATCAATTACGGGCTTTCTTTCAAAGGTGGTGCGCTCGCATGGAGGCTGCCTATCGCACTCCAATTTTTCTTCATCTTCGTCCTCTACGCAACTGTACCATGGCTTCCTGAGTCTCCAAGGTTGGTTTTTGATCATAGATCCCGACGATCTCCTGCTAATGCACATTAGATGGCTTCTCTCGCACGGGCACAGTGAGCAAGCCCTCGATGTAATCTCCCGCATCGAGGCCAAGCCAGCCGATGATCCGTATATCATCACGCAGTACAACGAGATCGAATACAGTATTAACTACGAGCGCGAAAATGCCGTCTCCTGGACTGATTTATTACTACGCCGCCAAAAGACAAATGACACTAAGACGCTGCGGCGGATCCTTCTCGGTGCGGGAACTCAGGCTCTACAGCAATTCCAGGGTATGTTACCCCCTACAAATAAGTGAATACTGGCTAATATGCGCAGGGATCAACATCATGTCGTACTACCTCCCTCTAGTGCTCATCAACTCAGTCGGCTTGTCAAATAGCATGTCGCGGCTCCTCAGTGCCTGCAACGCGACATCCTACTTTGTGTTCGCCTGTGTAGCAGTCATCATGGTTGAACGTTTCGGTCGAAGGGGCCTAATGCTGATGTCGACCTTTGGCCAGTTTGCGTGTTTCCTAATCATCACTATTCTCCTTCGATTTGCGGAGAACGACCCAAAGTACGGTACTGCTTCAGTGGCATTCTTCTTTCTATATTACATTGCTTTTGGAATCGGCATGCTGGGTGTTCCGTGGTTGTACCCAACAGAGATCAATTCTCTTCCTATGCGGACAAAGGGTGCGGCTGTCTCGTCTGCGACGAACTGGTATGTCCTTACCCACTTTTTTGTCACTCTGCCTCGGATTCATAGTATACAGGATCACGAATTTTGTCATTGTCGAAATCACACCTATCGGGATACAGAACATCGGGTGGAAATTCTGGATCGTGTGGACAATCACCAACGCGCTTTCTCTTCCGATTATATACTACCTGTACCCGGAGACCGGTGAGTATAATTTGCAGTAACCCATCCGAATGGCGCTGACAGTCTCCAGCAAACCGAACTCTGGAGGACCTCGACGCATACTACCGTTCAAATCCCCCACTGATTGTAACGGGAGACCCGGATGCAATCTCAACCGGCCGGCCATTGAAGTATATCCAGCACGAGGATGAGGAACTACAGCGACAGATGAAGCAAAGGCAAGCGACGGGGGACGAGATCAAGATTGGCTCGGCTACTGTGCAGCATGTGGGATGATTACCAGATCCATATATCTCTGTTCGTGCCAGACCAGCAGAAGCGATAGCTATGAGGGAAGTTCAAACGATTACATGAGACCTGTTGAACGATATATCATGTTTAACAATATATTACACTGGGCAGATTATAAAGTGTCTATATCTTCTATATGCAGTTTGTCCATGCTTATGCACTCGCCGCAAATCGCATCTCTGCAGCCCCGACATCGAACACTGCCACCACGTTCCTCAAAAACGTGCCTCCCAGGACAAATATACCCTGCCCAACATTTCCTCCAGCATTGATCCCGCTAATGCAGGTTTCGTTTCCCGAGTCATCCGTCCCGGCCGGCAATATCATATCCGTTGAATTGATGTAGAATGTCGAACCCCCGATTGTGACACCATGCACTGGCGCTTTCGCGTTACAATCCACCACATACGCCCCCTCGTCGTCATTGTACTCCGCCGGGGGAATAAACGCCGCGTTGACAGCGTCCGCTATGAAGTCTGGGTAGTAGTTCATTGTCGTTCCTGAGTCGACCTGTGATTGTTAGCCGGGTTCGAGTGAAGGACCGGTACACCCTTACAAGATACTGACTGTCACCATCAGCGTCTGGAAAACTCTCGTCGCCTACCGAGACTCCATCGATATTGACAGTGTAAAAATCATAAGTCCTCGGATAACCTCTAATGTCCGTGATTAGGATGGGCGTAGAACTGAAATTCCCCTTTATGTCGATAGGCGGCAATCCACCGAGCGCCAGATACCCGGCTGCCGTTCCACTGGATGCGTTACGGCTCATCACCATGCTGAAGACGGGATCAATGAGATCCTGTTCGTACATGGTTGCAAAAATGGGGTTGTAGAGGCTTGGCTGCATGTAATCAGTTGTGTAGGCGTTCGCGCTGTACCCACCGTCAGTTGACAATCATAACAATAGGGGAGAGTAACCCACAGAGAAGAATATGCGAGACCCATCAATCCCGACGTGACACCATCGCCGTACCAACCCGCATAATCAACCAACCCAATAGTCTGGTTGACCGAGATGCCGGCTAATGTTACGTTCTCGGTACCGATAATACCGGAGAGGATCTCCCCGTCTGCGTACTTGATATCCAGATACTCGCCGTCGATTTCATCGAATGTGGAATCAGGTGAGTATGCCTTCCCGAATTGGCAGTCTGACTGTTCGACCTCCCACCCGCTATCAGGGCTGATGCATGTGAAATCGTCTCGGACGACCCATAAATCGCTAGACCCTGTGTCGATGACCACCTCGAATGTCTGATCGCCGATCGTGATTGATGTCGCCAACCCGCCTCTTTCGGCGAGGGAGACTAGATTTGTGGATCCAGTTCTAACCTGGCTGTTGAGCTCGACTGCGCTGCGGGCGTTGCCCTTGTTGTTGATCTTGGTGAGCTCAAGGACATGTGGTGTTGTGACCCTCTGGGTAGTTGGGTTTGTGAATGCTGATGGTTTCCTGGTGCTTGTCCTGAGGGGCGTTCTTTGGGAACGCTGCATATACAGAGGAGATGCTGCCGTACATGACGCTGAGGCGAACAGGTATAGAAGTAAGCTGCTTGTTGAGAAATGCATTGTGACTTTCTTTGATATCAAACTTGGTCTTCAGGAAATAAAATAGCAGGTTGCATATGCCCTCCTCCCCTCATTGTCAACAGCAGGAAAGTACATGGTTAAATATACTTTAAGTGTTCAACAAATGAAGTGGTTGGCAGTGATATCTTTGATCATCTGCCACATTGACGGCAACATTCTTCCGCATTTGTTCCGTTCGTCAGCCTCCAACAGAAATTAAGCAACCTTGACGATTGAAAGGACGCATAGTATATCTTCAGATCGTAGTTACCAATTTTACCTTAAGAAGGGACGCTAATTCAGTAATTATATGATTTCTAGGTCATGCAGCACCGATCTAAAATGTAAAATCCACAGTTGTTAATGCCAGAAGAGGAAACATGATTGGCGTCCGAAAAGGGCTTATCGATAAGTAGAAGATAAGATAACGAATGGATAAGATGAGAAAGAGACCAAGGATAGAGGGGCTGGGGATGGCCACATTCCAATGCATTACCGTTTCCCAGCCATTCGAAGCAAGGGGCTATCACGGTGTCGGCATCAAATTGAGACACTCAGGCTCTGCCGACCGGGAAGTACAAGCACATACACTCAATGAACACTAAGCATCCTCAGAAACTGATCCCCCAACGCATTCGCCGCCAGAGGATTCCCCCCAGTCACCAACTCACGGTCAACAGTGATACTCCCAATCTTCTCTCCGGGCCCTTCGACCATCTCAGCCCCCTCATTGCGCAAAGACGACTCCACCTTCTTGATCTCCCCACCTAACATCGTCTCCATGACTTTCTCCTCCGCATCACTCCAGCACGTGATCTTATACCCCTTATAGATAAACGACCCATCCCCCGCCTGCTTCGTACTCAAAAACGCAATCGGACCATGACAGATTGACGCGGTAGGCTTGCTCTTCGCATGGAAATGCCGCAGCACCCGACCCACCTCCTTATCGTCACCTAGATCCGAGAGCGGCGCATGTCCCCCTGGAATGAACACCCCCGCGAAGGAATCCAGCTCCGCGTCGCTAATGGTGCTGAGCGGTCTAGGTCGATTGAACCCATTCTCGCGCTTCATGCGGTCGATGAGCTCGTTCTCGCGCCGGCGTTCGTAGAAGTTGCCTGCGAAGGCGAGGAGGGATTCGCTGAGGGGGTCCGGAGTGGGTTCGAGGCCTTTAGGTGAGGCGAAGGTTACTTCGTACCCGGCATCGAGGATTTTCTGGAGAGGTTTGGCGAGCTCCATGAGGAAGAAGCCGGATGGCTGTTCGACTGTTTTGCCGGCGTCGGAGCCGGATGTTTTCTTTAGGGGGAAGGATTTGGCGTCGCTGAGGATGATGAGGATCTTTTTTGCGGGCATGATGATCTGATTATGAGTTGATTTGAGTGGAGTATTGATTGAGTTAGAGGAAGGTCAAGAAATGCTGGTGTCCACTGGCATATATAGGAATGGCCGGAGGTGACATCGGGATGACGTAGGCCTTGGAACGTGGATAGGACTGACATGCATGTTTCATGAATAGGTCATAGTATGACGAACAAGGAGAGAGGCATATTAGCACTATTCATTAAAACAGAGAGCAGAAGGGGGCATCCTCGGGTACTGTTGAAAGTGCTTATTCGGAGCTGATGTCGGCATGCCGGGTATCCTGCGGTGGGCTCCCGCCCTTCGAATTGACGGGCATGCCTTTGTTTTCTAATTGTATGGTATTGAAATTCAACTTCATTTATCAAACCCCCATTTGGTATATTTTGTACATGATAATTGGAAAAGTATATATCAACGAAGAGAAGGGAAGCAAACGAAAGACGAGTATGGCTTTACTCGGGATGAACTAGGCCGCAAAGAAAAACGAAAAGTGACAAAGAGAGGAAGACTAAAGGCTATGCTTTAGTGCATTCGGTGTGATGACTGTACTGACTCTGAGTGGCATAAGCGTAAAGAGTAGTGGCTTCCGACAGCCCGTGGGATCTTCTGAAATTGTCCTCTTTGGACTCCGGCGGCGATCCGATCCGAGCCCAGAATTGTCGGTGGGCGACTTTGAATAGAGGTTTCAGGTTGGGAAGACACGCCGCTGTGATGCCTACCGACGCTTCGATGCATGTCCAGACAACGACGGGAATTTGGTTGTCTGCGCAGATGAATGGTTAAAATGTGAGAGCAGGACAGCGGACAGATTACCACTCACAGGTAATATCGGGCCCAGCTTTTGTGAACTCGATCATAGCGACAAGTCGTACAATATCAAAGATCAGGGTCCTAGTGTGCGGTTAGTGACCAAGGCACAGGACATCCGGGCATGGACACGCAGCTTACAGTCCGCCAACCATGAACACTCCGGAAAGCAAAGCTCTCTGCGTCTTCGAGATTGGTAGATCCCATACAATCTTCAATGGCATAATGAGAATGATCAAGTCCGTTAGAATGTTCGGGATCTGCTGTCCGTAATAGAATTTGGCCGGGTCGATACACGATCCCTCGATCGAAGGCTTCCAGAACTTCTGAACCGGCAAACACATCAAGGCGCCGACCAGGAATATACCTAGAGCCCAGAGAATGACAAACGCCGCGAGAGCATTGGCGACGATAATCATGCGAGGAACGGAGAAGAGCCGCTTGTATAAGGCGAGAATCGAGAGCTTGATGAAGAGGATGCATGCAGTGTACACGAAGGAGTTAGACCATCCGATCTGCCGCGTCATGTCAGCACTTGTCCTCCTGCAAATTCAAATCGCGTACTTACCTGGTAGTAAACTTCCAGATTCTTCTGAGGAATCATGTCTATATGCGATCCTAAGCCGTTGAACAGGACTGCATTTCGTCAGTAGTCGAAAGCACAGAAGAGCACAGACAACTCACGAATGGTCACTCCTATTGAGCATCCATATTTGAACAACTTAGCGACAATCAGCATTCTGGTGGCGAATCTTTCAAACACAAACGATCGATCATACCAAGGCCACGAGAATCAGATAATCATCGAGGTACAGCCTCGTTCCATTGATCCTTCTCGCCACCAGGCGCAAGATAACGGCAGCTGTGGATATGATGAAGGCAAAGTACAGCGCAATGATAATAGACCGACGCAGGTTCTCGTTTGGATGTTGAAAGTCGCCAGGAGTGCCATTGCCGGATATCTGATCGAGTGACATAGCGGGCGGTCTGTCCGAATGTTCTGCAAAAGCGATGAAGGAAAGAAACGAGGGCTAAGATGAATCAACCGTTGAAGAACGAGCAAGGCTGCAGCAATTATTTGAAATCGCCAGAGCCATGTCGATGGTGGAAACGGTGCTGCATATTAAATGTTTCCCGGACGGAATACTCGGCTGTCATCGCTGCCAGATCGGTCACACACTCCTTCTTTCTGTATCAAGCTCTGCAGGGCCCGAAGATTCAATATTCGGTCACTCACTCATCACATTATTGACACGCTAGCATCATGTTTGTGCCATAGACCTGTCCACAAAATTCGCGGGTGGCCGATCTGGCACCAGAAATGCGCCGTTTTCGCAATCTGGAGGGGTTAGGAGTTCTAGCGGTAGTTTGGCGAAGAGGATCAGATGCTGATCACTACGAGAATCGAACGACTGAGCGCAAAGCATAAATAGTACGCAGTTCTTTATCGACGCGTGTCATGATTGACAGGTACCCAATGATGCAAGTTTTGGCGTCTTTGCCCCAATGTGGATCGAAATCTCTGCCAATCTGCGCAATTTACTACTACTACCGGCTTGCCCTTGCTGGGCCTTACAGCCTTGTCTAAACAAATCCAGGGAGGCCTGAACCTTCTCCGATAAAGTTGAAGCAAGGCTCAATTGCCGTGGGAGGAGATCAATCATTTGTCGAATGTGATACGTCATACTTCMCATCTGATTCCATCCACTTATCAATCCGGATACAACGCCAGCTCGCTCAGTCAAATGTTTGCTATCTTACAAGGATCATATTTGTCAGTTCACGTAATCGACAAATATCGCACTCTCCAAAAGCCGAATGTACTAAGCAAGTCCGGTTCTCGCCAGAAGTTAAGACTTACAGACTAAGGAAAGACAAACTTGACATGTCATATACAATCTCTCGATCAAGCCGACCAATCTCCCTTGCTTGTCAATAATTTTCTAATATTCTAGAAAGCTTGCCCCTGCACTCCTTTCTCTTGCCCGTTGCGATGAAATACCTCCCAGTTCTTTCCTGGTACTGCTAGTTCTGATTCAATGGCCAGCCACAATCTTTAGTGGTGCCCGTAGGCAGTTTGTCCGAAGAAAAGTTACCTAAATAAGTAGCAAATAGCTCGAGAGTCATCCGAAATGGCTGAAGACTCAATATTTTGCCAATCATCTGCGGCTGAATCTTCTTTAGGCGTTTGCAGAAGACTGGAGCACACGACAACGAAATTTGGCTGCCTGTACATGTGACACATGGATGTTCTTCAGCGTCTAGACATGGATGACGATGGAACCAGATCCAGTTATGCAAGATGAATGTGTCTTCTGAATGTTAATTTGTCGAACTTGATGCTGGTGGCTGACCCTTCAACAACGAATACATAGGTGGAGGCTATTGAGATCTAGGCTTGCGAAAGGACTGGCTAGCTGCGTGTGGGGTAATCGAGATTCATGATTTGTTGTCTAACCATCAAACTCTACTTTTCAATCCTTTTCCCCACAGGCCACAATGTGGCCATTTCTCCTCAACTCAACTTATGCAGATGTAGAAGAGGTATGTGATCCGAAGTGCATCTCTCTACTGGTCATGACAAAGCATCCCTGTTCTAAAGAGACAGAGCTCATCAACTAACAATTGCCATGCATGCATTTCCATGTATTTCGCCTGCGAAGTGGTGATACATGCGGTCAAGATTAGAATTTCGGTGGCTAATGTAAGGCTGTACCACCTCATGTTCAGGACATTTAGACCAGTACTCAATCCAAGCTTGATTTACATGAATGCTTCACTTAGGCATGCAGGGATGATCGTGGTTGTTTACTTGGCACTGATGTCTCATGCATTAGCTTAAAGATTAATGCTTAGACCTTTTTCAATAGCTCACATTCATGAATAAAAGGAACGTGACGACATCGACATGATGCGTATCCCATTACTAATTAAATAAAAAGGTAGCTGTGGCATTCTATATATATGTTTATGGCGCAGTCGAGATGTCAACAATGTCCCAACTTTCCTGCCCGTAGAGAACAGTATCGTCACTGCGGACCGTCGTAACTGACCTCGAGGAGGCAAAGACAGTCTTGTGTGCCTTGGAGTCACCCGGGGATTTGCTTTGCTATTCAGCTGCATGCTAGCCCAATCCATCGATTTACCGTATTGCCATGCCATGAGCAGGGTGAGTTCTAGGCTAGAAAATGAAGGCTGTGAAAGATAAAATGGTCCGAAATACCTACGCGACGTCATTCCGGTTCCCCAACTTTGTGTATCCTGAAGTCTTTCAGAGCAGTTGCCTCGTCCTCGTCTACGTAGTCAAGATTCAATCAGCCCTCGGCTATGCTGCTCTTCTCCCACCGTCCCATTCTAGAGAACGGTATTTAAAAGGCTACTATTGCATTGTGCGGCAGTGCCCAACCCTTCAAAGAGGTTATTTGATATGCTCTCTATCCTCGAAGCGGCCAGATAGTAGTGATTAGTCATATTGCAGGGTTCTAGTGTCAATCCTCATAAGCATGTTTAAAAGCTCTCTAACGTCAAAGCAACGAGGATGCCTCCAGGACGGGAATAATTTTGCATCATACCACTGTAGTTCTGGCGCACTTGTTGCGGTCGAAATTTGTCTCAATAAGCGTGTGTTCATAGAGTAGGATTGTGGGTGTGAATATATATTCTGAGGCGCAGACCAAAGGATAGCAACGCATCTCTACCTAGCATTCACACATCTCACGTTTTGATGGCTAGCAAGGCCTTAAATTAGCTATCTCCCTACGGACCGGAGAATTCAACAATACAACGCCTCAAATAAACAAGACTATGGAGGCGGCACATGTTCGTTCTCCGAAATGGCAGACGCCGAGTACCGAAGACGCCCCGGTTAACCAATCAGTAGACCTTAGGTGTCGGATCCGACAGATACGAACCATCTCCGAGCTCCACATCCATGGAGACTTGTGTACCTAACTGTCCCTGGCTTTGTCAGTTCCATTGGTACTTGGTATTCATCTTAGGTCTAACAGGTCGAGCAGCAAATACATTGTTCAGACAAATGACAGATGTAGTCGGCATCGATTCTTTGAAAAAGGGAGAAGAGCCGAAGGAAGAAAACGGTTATCAGTCTATTTACCACGCGTGATTTTTAAGCATAGCCACGACAAAGAGGGCATTGCTTCTTTGCCTCGGATAAGTAGTAACGTTGGGCTGTGGCAGGCATCCTCACAGCCACCAAGCTTAAGGTATCCTCAAACAGTGGGGCCATACACGCGCGAAAGGGGCAAAGCCAGGTTTCCGATCACCCAGCTTATAAAGACTCCTCTTCCCTCGTCGCAATTATTGACTCTTACCCACCATCATGGACCTTATCGGTTTCTCTACCACCGCCCTGCTGTAAGTTGTCCTCCCTGTTAAATATACTCGCATCTATTCGACGCAAGTCTTACCACCAGTTAGCAAAACATGATTATCACACGCGGAATCTCGCTTGTCAACTTCGCGGTTGCGTCCTCGGCGCTCGCATTCCAGGTCTTCGTTCTATATCCGTGGCACAATCAATTAGACGCCGAGTTCAAGGCGCTGAAGGAKGAACATATCCGAGTGCTCAACCAAATGAATCGAAGGACTGTGTCTCAGTGACGAAGCGACGAGATGGTCCATTGATTGGCAGCGTTTAATCCAGACGCGACGGTGATACAATAGACGGAGGCTAAAAAACGGTATAGACTCCTCATTGTCGAAGTTTTTTATTGGCTCCACTAATGTTTGCAAGGCTTTTTTCAATCCATATAAGTTGTGGAGCTCTTTATGCACTCCTGGGAACATGCTAGGTACTTGTAAGCATGCCACTGCTTCTATAATACTAACCTCTCTTTGCGAGAAGTTTGCTAACATGTGGCAATTTGGCGTTTTATCAGCAGATTACTACGAATGGACAGGGGTAGATTATAGATAGTCGCAACTGTCTTGTCCAACATCACTAGCCTGAATTTAATCTATGAAAGTCGGAACAAACCCTCTGGAGTTCAACAGCAGAACAGTTACTGCCTAATCAAACGATACTTACGCCCCCATGTATATTGGTTTCCGTCCACGGTGACCAGAGAATCAAATTGGTCACTTCAATCCCAACAGACTCGTTTGGTTGCGATAAGTCCCGGTTAATGCCTTCAGATATCGTTATTACCCCCGGAGAGACAGCTGTCAAAGGATAAGGAGGGACCACAGTAGGCATTCTCGTTGAAGCTACCAACGGGGCCCAGCTTCAACCATCCATCCCAGGTTCCACCATGGTCMATGCGAAGGCACTGAGTACCGCAAATATTGTTATGCTCGACATTGTTCAGATATTTCTTGATAGCACCGGCAATGGTATCATGTTGAGCAGTGGTATCACAGTTGCGGCCAGTAGAGTAGTACGTCCACTTTAGGCCCTCAAAGGTGCCGTGCATAGCGTTGCAGTTTCCCCCGTTGGACAGATCTTTGATGGTTGTAGCGATGTTTCTCGAAAAGTTGACAACATATGAGGCGATGGTAACGCATGCAGCCACTGCGGCAAGTGTCCGTTCACATACAGTAATTGGAGTACGTTCAGCAAGTTCGGCGACATCACGAGTGTCGAGACTGGTTTCGTTGAGGCTGATTTGGAACCACTTGTCGGGAAATGGCTTTCCATCGATGGTAGAAGGCCATGTAAAAGCCAGCGAGGATGTTGTAAGACAGCAAACTGTCATAATCAACAGACTCTTTGCGAATAACATAGTGATTAAGGCTATTGAAGATAATGATACCAGAAAGGGCGAGATAAAAGGCTGTGTCGGCAAGGCGATCAACGAAATCAGGCATTGCTTTAAGAACTGATGGATTTGAGATGATGAAGGAGGACTACGCTTCTCCTTATATATTAGGCGAGTCATACGATATATCACCTCCAGAGGATGATTCTACTTTATCCACATACGCGATTTTCTCGCGAAGTACCAGGGAGTCGTGAGTTCGCTGTGGTGGGGATTGCTATGCTGTCTAAATAGCGGCCCTGTATGTCTCATGCCACAGAGAAACTATATCAATCTCGCGGATTGCCTCCACAGTGGCTCTCTATCTGTGGGGACCGGGGGACCAGTATGAATTCTTGAAAAGGTAGATTGTAACTTTTCCTGTATATCTAAGTCCGACATAGCGCCCCGTTACTGGCAGCCAGGCATTCGTAAAGCACCAAAGTTTTATCTGTACTCATTTGAAGCGCACCATTTGCAAAGGGGTTGTGATTAGATAGCTAGAGTCTTCAGCAATGTGGTCCGCTGCCTTCCGGCGGGCGGAGCAGATGCTGAGCACGTCCTTTTAAGCACCTCTTTTTACTGGTTAGAACAATAATACTAACAGACTATATGCTTGGCATTACATGAGGGGATAAGGTCCTCTTGGCCTCGGGAGTGGGATGTGAGCTATAATATGGGCGGCGCCAGACCAAGTGGGAGCAGCCGAAGGGCTAACAACCAACATGTGAATATAAGTGGTTAATTTGCAGAGCTAGCAGGTTCTGTACACTGATGTCTCATTCTATAGCGAAAGAGTGACCTAGTAATATCCTCGGAGTTTCTATTAGCCCCCTGTCTGTCACCAGTGGACATTCTTGATTTTGAGACTTTCTTGCGCGCTTGATTTCCACAGCAGGAAGGTGGCAGCTGGTACCCACTGCACCGCTGGCACTCTAAATTCCGGTTACTGTTCTGAAGTCTTGCAGATTAACGCCATTCGCCACAGCAAGCGTGCGCATAGTGGTCACCGCCGCACTTGAGATAGACATCCTAAAAGGAGATGAGATACCGTGTAGACGTGGGAGGAGACAAAGGCGGGCGACAGGCTGAAGCTGGCGCTATCGAGCAACAGCAAGGTTTATTGCAGGCTACTTCTCGCTCCCGAAATGACTAGATTCTCAGCTTAAACTCAATTTTCTGATATCCAAAGTGGATAAGCTCAGTCTGCTGCCACACAATACCCAGGTATTAATCCTTACGTGGGATAATTGCGACACCCATTCCGCAAGCTCAGAAACTGAGTGACTCAGTAACGCTACTGTCGGGTTCCATTTGAAAACTTATACTCGGCCGGCCGGCCCAACTCTATGGACGAAGGGCAAGTCAATACGAACCAGTTCTTGTCTCACACGCGTAATCCACTTTAATTGGCATCGACCCAAGCTTGACTTTAGGGTTACAGCATACGAGTCATGCTACGCGGTTGATTATAAAGCTCGAAACTATGTAGTAATTCATTGTCCGCCTGTAATCTCCATAGAACTGCGATGAGTGGAAGCTTCCTACTTCCCTTTCTTTGGGTTTAGAAGGTATAAATAACTGAGACTCCTAGTCAAGTGGCTGCTAAATACAGATAGTCTGCCATTCACCTACATGGATAGTATGGTTGTACAGAGAAACAGTGCTAGCATCCAATCAGCCAAATGAATACAGTCAACCCCTCCCTAACCGTCGCATTTACCCAATTAGGAGCAGAGAGCGCTGTGAGTGTTACTTCTAAGAGAGGCCGGCCTAGGAAGTGCTTTGTTATTCAACATCCCCAGAATGTCTTTTAGTTGCTCATGGGGTCTCTACTATTAGCTGGACGCCTTTCCAACTTGCTATTAAGTGGGTCATATTAGTTGAGGTTAGTTCAAGGAGAAGTGCCATTTAAAGGTTAGCCAGCAGCCAGACCCACCAAGGTATCCAGCCAAGCATTAAAGAGAACGGATGTGGCGGATCAACCTGGTTCAACCACAGCTCGTTCTCTATTTTTCTGAATGGAAATTATTCCAACTATTATTGCACATCAGTCCTACATAACATTATGTGTTATTAAGAGTAATATACTGCTATCTGAGAAGAGTAGGTCATAGAGGGTGAAGATTTCTAGACATAAATATTGAATGAGTCCAGTCTTGAATAGTTTAACACAGTGATATGACCACAAGTTTACCTTCTATACTTACCTCTCTTTTGTTCTATAGCTCTCTCCTTATTATGACTTACTACAACTTGTTCCACGTCTTGCTACACTAACATGTGAGAATACACTAAATGCTATCAGAACCTTAGTTACTGTTACTTAGTATTATAGTTTAATTTGATTGCTTGGGCTACTTATGATTCAAATATATCTAATCAGCTTTAGCTGCTGTTTTCTGTAATATTATGCATGCTATGGTCATGCAGCCATAACTCCTTGCGCTCCTGCTATACCTGGTATATCCAAATATTACCTCATGAAAGAAAGAGATTACCTAGCTTAGCCCTTTTGTGAGATTTCATTTCTATTTGCCTTTCTGCTTAGTACTACTCTTGCTCTGTGCAGAATTTGGTGCATTAATGTAATGTCTTATCTATTATATATGCCCCCTCCTGTTGAGTTTATTTTGACTTCACAGATATATTTTTACATACATGCTTGTCTAATCATTACCTTTCCGGTGCCTTATTAAAACTAAGCGTTCGGCTTTCATGTTATCACTGAACTATGCTTCACTTTTCCTTTGAGGGCCACAGCGTGCGACAGCGTGCGTCATCAGTGGCTCTGAATGGGGCTGACTGAAGGCTGAGTTGACGCTGCGAGAGACAGCGCAGAAACCCTGTTTCTAGTATTTGAAATGAATAGTAAATTATACACTCAGTAAAACAAAGGTCCTTCAAACCGCTTCAGAAATTCTATCCTAGTTTTGTAATTTTTTGTAACGACATCACAGTCTCAGTAATGCTCGTGGACAGGGTTCGATATGCCAAGCCAAGCTTCTCGGTTGCTTGGGAGTTGTCAAACCCGTAAAGTCCTCCGTGGGGATACCCGCCACCGCTCGCGTTTTGTTCTGGGAGTTGCGGTCTGTACTCCGAGAAGGATTCTCGGATGATTTCACAGATCTCCTTGTTTGAGAAGTAACCAGCAGTCAATAAGAATCTTTTGTTCACGACTCCTGGAGCTTCCATCGCTCTTATATGGGCTAAGGCGGCGTCACGAACATCTATCCAGAGGAAGAACGATGTTCCTGTGTCAGGGATTTCAGCTTTATATTCGCCTACCATAAAATTTCGGATCCGCTGGTTTGACGTGTTGAGTTCGTCGAGGTTGCGCAGTGGGTGTATCACTGGACCAAACATCAATGTTGGACATAATGTAACCAGAGAGAAAGGTGGTTTCTCTCTCTCAAGAAACTCCCAACATGCTCGCTCGGCAAAAGTTTTGCTTGCTAGATCGAAGCTTTTAGTTCAAATATAGGAACATCAGTCGAACGAGAAGGTGGATGCTAACCTCTGTATCCGTTGAGAGGATTTAAATGAGCGTCCGAAAGGGTAATTGGGTTCCAATCTTCCTCGGAATAAATATGATCAACCCAACTGTTCCCCTTATAGCTGTTGATGATCGATGCGAAAGAAGATGTTACGATCTGCAACTGGTTAAAAAAACCTCGGGAACTGAAGCCAAGTCTGTTTCATTTCTCTACGATGCGGGAAGCGTACCACTTTCTTGACCGATGGTGCACTTTTCCGAACTGCTTCAAGCAACGCAATAGTCCCACCGACTGCAGGATCCAAGAGTTCTTGCTGAATATTGGTTATCGAGTAGCGAAAGGGAGACGCAGTATGGATGACCACATCGAAGGGCGCGTCGGATTTGAAACATTCATCAAAAGCACCGGCGCTCGTAAAGTCAGGAACGATGATAACTCGTAGCTGAGTGGTAGATGCATGTAGATCCTGGCGTTCGCGGATCTGCTCTGCCTTCTCGTGACTGCGGACAGTGGTTACAACTGAATATCTACGAACACGTAAGTTAACATGGGTGAAGCTTTTTTTTGGGGTGGGGGACGGGAGGCTGGTTGTAAATTGCATTACCCTCGCTCCAAGAGGAGACCAAGAATATGGCTTCCAAGAAATCCATTACCGCCTGTTAGTGCTGTCAGTTGAAGCTAGGCCCTCGTAAATTCCACACTAGAAGTGAAATACGAACCAGTGAGGAGGACTCGAGCCATGCTCCCTTCTGTTTCCTGCCTTTGTTTCCGTTGCTTTTAGGGAACTTATGCTTTTAGAGAAATCGAGATCAATTCAGCACAGTAGGTTGATGGAGAGAAATGGATGGGAAATGAGGACTAGGACCAGGTGTTTATATCTTATTGTCTCCCCAGATCCGGTTAGACGAGGACGTTTCGGCGATTCCAACACGAGCATTGCTCTAGATGTGGCCAATTAACTTTCGTCAAAGCCAGGTAGATCCATACCTAAGGCACTGAGTCACAGTACGCGAGAACTTAGCCAAACGGCTAATGAGTGGCTCTTGATTTGCCAACGTAAAGAGCTCTAGCTTGTATGTGATGTGCCAAAGGAGGCTGTGTATAAACTCCTCCCAGGCAGTCATTTTTGTAGGTGTAGTGGTAGATTACAAGCACCAGGTCTTGAACTCAAGAATTCTTTCAATATTTATCAGCAGCGTTGTGGCTAGTGATCAAAGTATATGTTCGTATGGATTAGTCTCTGGGGTAGGCTGGTGTGGGTTGCGATGTTGCGGCGCTCAATGCCGCCAGGATGGGCAACTGGAGTTGCTTCATGCGAGGTCGCGGAGTTGCGAGTCAGGGCTGATGAATGGTGCTGGATATTTGTAGTTTATAGGAATTTCTAGCGCTGCGAAGGAGTACGTTATCCAAGGAATCCTTCTGTTTTGTTCATCAATAGGGATTCAGTACATTTCCGCCCAAGAGTCAACAGCGGCAGGGGATTAATTTGGGGTAGATTGGGCTAGTGGGGCGTTAGATACAGAGCACTAGTACAGCAACTAGTATGCACTGGGACAAGATTCATCCTCTCAGGATCACTCAGCGCCTAGGTGGTTGCAGATCGGCTATGGTCACTTTTTTAGTCCGGCGTGGTGAAACTGCTTAATAAGCCCTTGGCAGTCATGTACGCCTAGCGTTGGTTTCTCCAAGTCAGACTTAGTCAGACACTTTACCAGGTAGCTCAACCTCTTGAACAACATCACCATGGCATTCCCACTCTCTGATTTGCCCAACGAAATCATTCTTGCGATAGCCAAGGAGCTGCATTCAGAGGGCGCGATCAATGCCTTGGCTCGAACCAGCCGCCATCTCTACTCTTTGCTCAATCCCTTCTTATACCAATACCATGAGCACCCGAAGATTCCCGCTCTGCACTGGGCAGCCCAGGGAGGGTATGCATCTACCCTCATCAGCCTACTGGACGCAGGGGTTGATCTTTACGCATCCTCGATCTGGTTTCCAGATCAAACACACAAACTTACTCACCATCCGCTCATGACTGCTATATGGAACGGTCATTTAAGCATTGTCGAGCTCCTTTTGGATCGAGGTGGCATGTGCGAGAGATTAAAGGAAGAAGATTACGAGTTGCCGCTGAATCGAGCTATATGGCACGGTCATATTCCCATATTGCAATTTTTTCTGCAGAGAGGGGTGAACCCCTGGCATACCCGTAAAATGGACCCAGCTCTTGTTGCCGCCGTGCGCCGGGGCTGTCCAGAGATGCTTAAGCTCCTGCTGCGGGACGCTGAGCATCGACAACTTCTTGACCCTTCCCAGCGACTCCAAGAGCTCGGACATGCACTCTGGGTCGCTGGCCACCATGGCAACGACGAGCTAATTGACTTGCTGTTGGCGGAAGGTGCTGATGTGAATTTCCGGTGGGATGGCACAACTTCGCTAGATAGCGCAGTGATCAACGATCATTACTCCACCGCGAAAATTCTCCTTCAAGCTGGGGCCGATCCGAAGAGAGTGGATCGCGATGGCATAGGACCCCTCTCGCGGGCTACAAAGCCAAGTGAAGCGATCTGGTTGCTACAGGGCACTCGGCGCTACATGAACCCTCGAGACCCCAGTCACCTAGTKGTCCCATATCCACAAGTTGTCAGAGATGAATTGGTAGCTATGACTCGTCTTCTTCTTGATTATGGTGCGGATGCTGCTGGGCCTGATGGTGCTACAGCACTGCGGATCGCCATGCGCACGAAAAATCCCGAGCTCACCAACTTGCTCTTGGTGCACGGGGCTCGTGTTTTAGGAATCAATCGAACCACCTATGGGGCCAGCGAAGAAAACAATTATTGGGTATGATATTTTTGGCTGCACAAAACGCTAAAGTATTGAAAGGGGCACTGTCCAACACTAGAATGGATAATATATTTTCACGGATATCCATCAGCGGAGAACTGTCAGCTTTTCTCGGAAAATAGTGATCCACTCAAATGATCCGTCAGCAGGATAACTCCCATTAAGTATATTGTAATCTTTACATATTGTTTCTGTTTTTTTATACAGAACCTACATGGGCGAACAAATAGTGAAGCCAGCAAATGGAGGACCTTCACTTTTCTCTGGATCATATTGCAAATAATGGTCATGGTATCTCAACAAATGGGCTTGTGGTTTAGTGGTATAATACCCCCTTAGCATGGGGGTGGTCCGGGGTTCGATTCCCCGCGAGTCCATTTTTTTGGTTTTCTTTTTCCCGTGTCTCCGAATCCATATTTATCTCTGCCAGCTTTGAGGCGGTTCCTCTTTATCAAGGCCTCTTTCCCTTCCTGTTTTCTTATTATTTCTGACTTTTGATCTTCCTTATTTGAGGGGCGACAGACCTTTGGCCGCCGGGGTCACAAGGTGTAACGCCAAATCGTTCTTACTCAGTCCAGCTTTGTATTTGTTCTCATAGAAAGAGATTCCGGAGTTGTTGAGGTTGACCTAGGGCCACAACAGCATGGCTCGGCAAATGCTTGCATTCCCTCTCGGATATGAGAATGAGGAGATTAGCACAGTTATACTCATAGGCGAGCCGATATTGACGTGAGTACAGTGTATCTGGTGAACTCGGTATCCTGAGTATAGCTATAGCGGCTACTAACACTGCATGCTTCCTGGAGGGATATAAGCTCAAGGCTGGTAGTGGAGGGGCCGCTAAATAAGTGCAAGGCTTTCGTTCTACACACTAAAGCAGGACGCGCGTACTTAAGCCCACTTCTGCGATTCTCACTCAGGTCTTACCCACATAATGGACACCGAATTCTCTCTTGTCTCCCACGAATCGACGAATAGAGTTAAACGCGATGATCTGTCACATTGAAAGACAAGAAAGTGTATGTATGATCGGTGTTTTAGCCTCCAGGCTGACGAGTATGTTTATCATTGAGAAGCCTAGCCCTGGCCTTAGTTCAGGCAGTATGTAACAAGAGCACTTTGTGGGTATAGGTGTCTCAACTGATTAATTAGCACATTATTTGAGGCGCTCACATGCCGCTGTGATAGGCCTTTTACCTTGCCTGTCCCTACTTAGCTTCCTAGACTTCTCATCTCTCAAGTCTCTCCGCCCACCTCTCAGATACTTGACCTGTTCATTCCTCAACTTTTCAAAGGTATGAATGATCCTGCCGCGATTTCCTAGTCTTTATGTTGTCAAAACTCAGAATAACAACGTGCAATCAGAGCCATGAGCCTAAACATTTCGGAAACCAAGCCAGTTGAGCAGCTATTCCTGGATCTTCCCATCCAGCAAGTTCTCAACCCCAGCCCGGGCACAAACTTCATAGAGCCGTGGAAGAGCATGTACGTCGATGCCATACGTGAAGCTCGATTTGGCGACGCTGTATGGGCACGCTACCATATTTATGGTGATGTGGAAAATGGGATTGTCGGCGGATCAAATAATATGACAGTGCTAGACGTTATCAAGGAAGATGCCCTGTCATACAGGGTGAACGAACCGGAGGAATACTTTAAGGCTTTATTATTTTATGCAAAAACTAGCGTTGCAGACGGGCATGCCGATGTGATCGCGGTCATTACCGACCTGGACGAGAGGGAAATCGCCGAGTTCAAGGCTAAAGAAGAGGCGGAGCTAGAGGATGAAGCCTGAGAGACGCCTGCAGTTTGATGTTCTTACACGTAATGTCAGTGGATTACCTAGCAGATATAGGAGCTGAGAGCCTGATTGTATTTAACTCGAAAAGTTGAGGATCTGATCTCGGTCTCTCTACTCGCAATATCAGTGCCTGAAATTTCAAAGGCATTCCCCCATGGACAAAGCCAAGAATTATTGATAAGTGAGTTTACTCATCGAATTGGCAAAGCTAATAGAAGTGGTTCACTGCATGAGAAAGATGTGTAGCAAGGAAAAAGTTCACGGCCTCGGCGGCTGGCCTATTCTACGTGGGACGAGCAGTCTGACTGTCGCTGGTATTTGGCTGGTGCAAGGATCCTATGGGCGGTGCTGACCTACTATGACTCTGCAAACTTTCCATAAGATTACGGTTCCCTCCCATTGGACCGATCATCCGGCCTAGGGGTCTCTCTCTTAGATTTATATCTCCCTTAAATTCTTAGAATAATCATCCAGCAAGTTTATAAGCACAGGTAGGGTATTGCAGAAGGTATAGGAATAGTGGCAATGTATCCTTAGGTTTGTCCAGCCTGGCAGAGGCATTAGTATTACCCTTTTCTGTATATTTTTAGGTCACCTTCACTTTGTTAGTAAACTTATTAACTTTGCTGCCGGACTTTTTCTTAGAAAACGCAAGATTCATAGTGAGTGCAGCTCTTTTACTTAGAAACATACTATGGATATTTCCTCTGTTAAAGTTTAGCGATCCTATAGTCTGGCTAATTAGGGAGGACACCTATACACTAGCACTTGTACTTAGTGACTATCTAAGCCAGTGGTGGTTTTAATAGCACATTTAGGGTTGGGGCTGGTGCAGGTATTAGCTGCACATGCTGTGCTGCTACTATGGCAGCCAGGAGCAGAATAGAGAATAATTCTAATATAGATCTTATAGTAATCAGGTCTCCTATTCAGAGTATTATTATCCAATGTGCTAATAAGACAGACTGTGAGAAGCAAATTTAAAACAATAAAAATATATGTATAGGGGACTAGTTCTTTAGCTCCACAGTGTACATTAACTAAAGGCAGTTATATAGAGAGGACGTAGGGACTAGTTTAAGATCATCTTAGCAGAAAGACCTGCCCTTAACATACTTAATATAACATTATTAAGATTCATATTTATGGCTATTAAATGATGCCGTTGTTACACGACTTTCTCCGGGACTGCTGGTTCTAAAAATATGTCTTAGTGGTGTACTTACTAGTAGTCTGGTTATGTTAGTAAATGTACTTAGGATACAGTACAATAACAAAATTCTAGCAGTATATGGCAGCTGGAATCTCAGAAAGTTAGAATAGCTGGCCATGTAATATACAAATCTTATCCTACACCAACATCGTAAGGCAGACATGACTAGTGGAACTATAGAGCAGCATTCGCCGACCATTTCTATAATCGCAATACTTATGGAGCAGAAAAGAAGCTATTCTAATCTATCTTAGAAAGGATCCAGAGCATAATAAGCAGCAGGCAGACTGGCACACACTTCTAAGACAGGGGCACGCTTAGGTAGTTCTCTTTACAAGACAAATGCAGCAGACCCCTGAGGGACCACACGCTAGAGTGTAGGGTTAGTAGATCTTGCTTCTGTTTATCTTCATGCCTGGCAAGGCAGCTACACATTATTGCTCCGGACGCATAGTGGCTGCTTTCACCCTATTAAATATCATGATGATCTCAATCTGCTCAGCTTATATTCAGTGTCGAAAGCCTCCCTTTTCCTCATAACCTGGACACGACCAAAAGGAAGGACAAACCTGCTCCCAATATAGTCTGAACAACTTACTGATCATCACGGATATAGTCCTCTGTAATTCTGACGTTTTGGGCAACCCATCTGGATCTATGACGGCTTTGTGCAACCCATGAAGTTTATTTAGCTTGAGCTGGAGAAGTATAAGTATGTTTTCAGAAGTAATATTTAAGTTTTTGGCTTTGCGGGGATTAATTTTAAGGTTCGCCTCCCAAGGTAACTTAAATTACTCATGGCTATACTACCGCATCCGGAAATAACCCACTTAAGCTTCCTGCTCAGTACTGAAGGGCCTCCGACCCGACTGATGAAGGGACATTGCTAGCTGGAACTCGCTATTTGGAGATTGAGCTATTTTGGAAGTGTAGAGTGTCAGTGATGAGGTGTCCATTTCGCTAACAATAACTCGGGCGCTGGTAGATATGGAATAACCATTATAACTTAGCCCGTTGCTTCCGTAAGAGGCGGTTCCTCCTTAAGCGGTCGCCTCATTCCTGATGCAGCCAGTGTGCAGTTTGATATGTATTTTCCATGCACCATGAGCTTCTCAACTCAAGCTCGAGCGCCGCATATGAAAGACGCTGGCCCACTGTGACAACCAGACTTTGCGCAGTCCCAGATACCTCTGTTCTCTGGGGACGTAGTATACATTTACTATGAAACAGGTGGAACATATTGATGACAGTGGCAAGCATTAGATGACAATTAATCCACTTGACCAACCGTTTTCAGTAGGAATGGCCCTGGGCTGGAAGTATTACATCACCTTATCCGCGGCGATTGAGTTGTATTACCTCAATCTCAGCAGTGCAGCAGATCTAATGCATGCATGATTTCTCATGTCATAGGTGCCAGTATGTGAGGTAACATGATCTATATAAACATCCTGCTTGACTGATGCTGCCTTTAAGGCCCAGACTACAGACTGTCATCCTTCTTAACTTATACACCAATTCTTCAAGCAACTTTACATCATGACTGAAGCACACCTGCCTGACTATCTTACTATTCCTTCCCACTGCGTTCCCTGTTTTCACGACCGTATTGGGGATGAATTTCCACCCGCCACCGCTGCCCTTCCACCAAAGCCAGGTGGCTATCCAGTCCCAGGGATACAATCCCCTAGCTCAACTTCTGTCATGGCAAAGGACTATTTCGTGAGGTATTTCTGAATATCCCCATGTTGCATGAGAGACAATTGACGATACCTACTCAGCGACGCCACCTGGGCCAATATTCTTGACCACGGCAGATTCGACTACATCGTCGTCGGCTCCGGGGTCACAGCTCTTGCATTTATCAACGAGGCTTTGAGGCTTGACCCCCATTGTAAGATATTGTGTCTTGAGAGAGGCGGTACGTAACCCATTCCAACAAGGCATTACATCCTAACCCTCTGATTCAGGTTTCTGGCTTCCCACGCATTTTCAAAACCTCCCTCTTCCATTCAAGATGGTGCTCGGAGGCCCATCAGAGACGTTCCCATGGACCCTTTCTCGCAAAACATTTGAAATACCAGAGGTTGGGTATTGTCACGGGTCTTGCCCTTTTTTTGGCGGCCGTTCGACATTCTGGTCTGCCTGGTGTCCGCAGCCATCAGTCGGCCTGATGCGGGGCTTCCCCGAATCTATGATTAAGACAACTGAGAAGAAAAATTTCTGGGAGCCAGCCAAGAAGCTACTTCATGTCACACCCGCTAATAAGATTGGCGATACCATATTTGCTAAGCTGCAGGAGTATATTGATACGGCTCTGCAGAATGGCGTGAAGAGGATTACAGGTGCAGATACAGCTGAGCCAGCACCTCTGGCTGTTGGCAACCCGAGTCCCAGATCGACATTGCGATTTGACAAGTTTTCTGTTCCCGGGCCTATGCTGGAAATCGAAGAGAATCAACGGAAAGCTGCCCTGGCAAACAAAGGATCACCGCTGGAATTGATGAATAATTGCAAACTCATCAAGATGGAAAAAGAGGATGACGGTTATGTACGCGTTCTAGAAACTGATAAGGGTGTGCTATCTTGGACGGACAACAACACCAAAGTCATTCTCTGTGCTGGGGTATGTTTTGGCCACAAACCAAAGTAGAAAGCCCAGCTAACGCGTTATATAGGCCATTCCGAACGCTACCCTTCTCCTCAATTCCTTCCCTGAGTGCAGAGAAACCGTCGGAAAGCGCTTGACAGGGCATTTCCTGACTCACATCGCCGCGCGTTGTCCGATTGCAAACCTTCCAAATTACACACCCAGCGACAAACTCGAAATCGGAGCCAACTATGTCGCTGGAAAAGACACGAGTGGAAAGCAATATCACATCCAAATCACTGCCATTCACAGTCCAGACCCAGCAGGCGATGCTGATGATGCAGCACGCGAGTGCCCTGACTATGCCGCCGCCGCTACCTACGAGCAGCTAAAAGATTCCAAAGATTACATAGTCTTCGGTATGTGTATTTGAAAAGATTCCATCTGATACTGACTCAGCGTGCAATAGTTTGTGCCACCTTGGGCGAATTCACAGAACAAAACCCAGACAATTACATCAAGCTGAACGAAGGCAAAGACCCTACCTCCAACGTCAACCTCCAGTTTACCTTGACGGACGAGGATAGGGCCCTTTGGGACCGTATGGATAAAGCTACGTATGATGCTATTGAAGTCATGTCAAACCAAAACAAACAAGGCATCGAATACTGGGACTCCATTAAAGGGAGGTGGCAGTCGGCAAAGCCCAAAGTTGAAACTATTCGGGTCCCCGGCGTTGTCCATGAGGCTAGCACAGCCTTTGTTGGCCCAAAGGAGCAAGGTGGATCACTAGATGAGCAGTATAGGCCCCATGGGGTGAAGAATGTAGTATGTGCCTATCTCCCAGACCATATCTTTGAGACTACAAACTGATAATCTTTACCCCTGCAGCATGTTACTGGTGGTGCCTTGTTCCCAAGTGCGGGAAGCTGGAATCCTACTCTGACTATGTGTGGATTTGCTCAAGACCTTGCAAGGAAGCTTGTCCAGAACAGAGGTCAGAGCGATGGATCCTATCCCATCATGGACGGATGACTGGACGTCTGGTTGTTCTAGGATGCATGGTCTAATAAGTTAGAGAATTTTAGGGTCGCTATCAAGCTTCCACAAATCCATCCACAGTAGTATAGGTTGGTTGTGCAATATCGCTCAATATCATATGGGGGGATCATTATTATATCCTGAAGTGACTGGCGAAGCCAGCACAGTAAGTAAGCTAACAGGCACGCAGAGCTTCATTGTTAGCTTCAAGGTGTTTAAGAGAAATTCTTTAGTAATGTGGTGTCTGGTTGTTTGAGTTGTAGATACCCTGCGGCGCGGAGCACTAAGGAATATATAACTTCGTAGAGAAAATCGACAATAATATCGAATAAATCAGGCTCTTCAACGTCGATACTTTCGCCTGGAGGACGTAGGAAATCATCTAATTCCATAACCTCAGTACCAGGAAGCCGGTCGACTACCTGTGTGTATAAGACACCCTGTTGAAGGCTTTAGTGAGGGTTGGATTCTATTTTAGTGGTTCAGTTATGCAACTGTAAGCTCTCCAAGGGGTAACCCTTCGCCGCTACTTATGTATCTAGGCCTCCTTGGATTTGAGGGGGCTCTTGAAAGGTGACCATGGCCCCGTGAGCACGAGAATGCCACCTCAGCAGCGACTGTCTTGCAAGTATATTATAATAATTATGATAGTACAAGAAAGGAGGCCAATAGTACAGAAAGAATTAATAATTCTCAAACTAACGCACAAATATTGGTGCAACTGTAGCGTTGAATGGCGAAATATTGGTAAGACCCTACACAAGCCGGCGATCCCGTCGTGCACAGACGAGCGGCTATAGGAGTTGCAAAGCTCCTATAAGGAGCTGAACATGTAGTTGGCAGGCAAAGTTACTACCTAACTAATCTCACATAATTATGCACTGCTTTGGCATATATGGCTTCATGCTTTCTTGATATGCTTCTGGTGATGTCATGCTTTCAAAGACTGGAAAAAGAAGTTAGCCAAGATAAGGCCATGGTACCTCCTAGAATACTCACATTCCCTTTTAGCTTGTTTACTCTCGGCTGTGTCGTGCCACAGCCTTAACAGCCATGTAGCGACCACTGCATCCCTCAACTCCTGCGGCATACTCCTCGTAATGCTTAATTTATATCCGTCATTCTCTTTTTCTTCAATAGCGACCTGCCTGCCATTGGAATCGCTCCACTTATAGCAATTGCGACCGACTTTCCGATCTGGCTGGATATCAAACAATAGGACTTGTTGTGTGCCCTCGCCGAATAATGGCTTATCTGAGGCGGTTTTTCTGGGGCTCAACATCGCTTTGAAGGAAGTCCGTTGAAAACGTGCCTCAGAAGTCTCGAGGCGAATATTGCCCACCATCTCCGGGACCGCAGAAGTGATGTAGTACCTGGCAGGTATGTCGGTCCGGTACTGCGCATTCACAGGGTGCACGAGGTAGAAAAAGTGTGGCTTTCGCGGCGTGCCAGAAATGACGCCCTCGTTCTCACTCTCGAGCTCAGGTACATCGTGCTCGACTCTTTCAAGTAGCACGGAGGAGTTCTTGTTCGAGATTGACGTAATGTCACTCTTCAATTGGTAAAGCGGCGTTGGAGTTGCAGCCTCAGTGAGGACAGATTGACCTGATAAAAAGAGGACGGCGGGCTCAAGGATGTCCTTTGAAGGCTTTCCGCCAGTTTTCTCGTATGATTCAGACCCCGAATCCATTGTCTTGGGCATTGAGTTCGGTCCGCATCTCTAATGTCTCGATATTCCTAGCGATCCATTATGTGATTATCCGAGGATGAATGCGCAAGGTAGGGTCAACAATAGATATAGAGAGTAGTAAGTAGTATGGTTTGTGGTTTGGCCGTGGTAGAGTGTACCGGGGGTGCATCGCCGAGGGCGGGACCATGGGCCCTCATCTGGTTTGCCAGGTGGGCAATAACATTAGTTTCATAAGCAGCGTTTTGGCCCCGCCCGTACCTATCCTGTTGACTGGAAGAAAATTGTATGAGGCATTTTTTTGCCCTCCTCATATGAGAATTCTCCCCGAGTCAGAGTTAATTACGCCAAGCCTGGGATATTTAATCTCAGCTTTGAGTGGAGCTGATCGGTGCGTGTGCGGAACCCTCGCTAAGCCTTGGATGTTTTGATCGGGGCTTGGAGTGGAGCGAGTGTGGCTGTGAGCCCCGCGCCCCGCGCCCCAGCCAAGTAGACGCAAATCAAGGTTCGACCCCCCCGGGCGCCGCCAACTTAGTCCCGCTCCCTTGCCAGACCCAGGAGGTCCCCCGCCCCACCTTCCGGGAATCGGATTATCGTTTTTATTGTAGGAAGTAATTAAAAATGTCTGGCAGTCTGGCACTGTTACCTAACTAGTATGATATTCTTAGTCGTATATATTGTGGACTCATAGTTAACTAGTGATTTAGATGGTCACTGAGTACGCCCAAGTTCAACCGAGTAGAGGCCCAATTCAAGAATATGTGGATAGATCTATCGTGGACATGGAATTTAGATATAAAAGGCATTCGATTTAGCCACTGCTTCATTCCAAAAGACAGAGCAGATGTAGATCTGATAAAAGATTGACAGTAAGGAGCAGATAGAGTGACGTTCAACTTGAAGGCTCAAGAGGCCGAGAAAGAAAGAGAGGAAGGGGGAATGTCTACACGGCATTTTCGAGTTTTCCCTCGAAAACTTAATCCAAGTCTTTACGACTCTGGCTCTCGACGCGTGCAAGGGGCTTTAGGCAAGAAAGATGCTTATCCTGATGCAGGGCATCGCCACCATTCTTGTAAGCCCTGAGGACCTCAGAATTCCTTTCCTTGATTGTGTTGATCATGTACTGGATGCCATCAGTGGCAAGCTCCTCCAGGGCTTTCTCATTGGCCTCCTTAGCTTCTTCCTGAATCTCATTAAGTCGCTTCAGCCAGAACATGTATCTCCATGGCGAGAATCCAGCATGTGATCGCTGTCCGAGCTCCGATTCGAGGAACTCCTTACCACCCTTGCTGATGTGGCTAGGGCAGTCGTTCCAATACACTTCTGATAGCAAAAGGAGGTTGTGGCTTGCTATTTTCAGCCAAGCAACAGCAGCTGGTAACAGATGAAAGACCTCAAGCTGCTTGGTACCTCGGTTGACGTCTTCCTCGTCTGACTCTTCCCCAGTGCGAAGTTCTTGAGGGCTTTCAAAGAGAGTACGGAAGATCAGAAGAGCAACTTGGCACAGCCTATCCTTAGCGACACGAGTGGATGCAAGTTTAGCCAGGAATGTTGCAAAGTTGAGACGGTGTGTTCCCGACATAGAAGCACCGTGATTGACCCAGAAATTGGTCATATCGCCAACCAAGAAGGGGAGATCGTGCCACAGTGTACCGTCGACGGTTCTTGCGATATCAATCCCATAGACTCCGCGTGCAGGTCTAGTCAACGGTCCCATTCCTTGAATGCGGAGGATATCGAGGACTATTCCCTCATGTTCAGGTGATTCGGAGGAGATGTTTCGGCCAAGCTCGTAGTACATATACCACAGGGAATGAATGTAGCTTTCAAGGGAGTCTACACCATCTCCAATATCGCAGTATCGGAGGGTAACAATCCAGGTCCGGTTACTGAAGGCCACGTCTCGAACCTCTTTGAATTCACCCCGAGCGACCGACTGGCGTGTACTTTCCTGATCTCTGCGAGCATGGTCGATCGTTGCGGTAGAAGGTGAGTCTCTAGGCAGAGAGCTCAGCAGAGAATCACGCAGGTGGTCCATTTTGGAAAGCTGACAATGTTGAATGATGATTCAATTAGAATTCCGGTAAGAGAAAGAAGACAGTGGGAAAGTGAAAGAGTTGATATGGTGGAACCAGACGGGGACTTAAGTCGATGTAGGGGTCAACTTGAACGGGGGGACAGAGAGATTTCTCTCCCAGTGTGGGGACCCTCCTGGACCCCTACTAGACCCCTACTAGTACTAGGCAGCAACGTAGGGTCTGACATTCTGACAGCCCAATATCTGAATTTGGAGATCATACCACTAACTAGTTTCCAACATGGAACGGGCCATTCCACTGGCTAGTCCACCCACCCCAACCACACATTAAACGCGATATATTACCCTAGCGTCATCTCTATGGAAGATAGCAGAGACCGTTTGGGGGCTTACTTTCCATTCCCCGGTGTTCGCGACTAAATCTAATGCCCGTTGTTTTAGTTAAATGAACGAAGCTATGAATGCAAGTCAATGCCCCTGTTCCGGTCGTTTTCCAAATTATGTCCTCGTAAAAGCTAGCCAGTCTATCTATGGATCACCCTACAATCGCTAGTACGATGACAGATAAGGAGAGGAGGACACAAGCAAGCTATCAAGTCTTATTCAGGTGAGCCTTGTTCTCATATGGTCTTATTAGCACGGTATATACTACTAGATGGCGACGACGGATCCAACAGATGGACGATCACTACATTGAATCCAGCGCATCAAACCGGACGGAGTCCCCATCCCACCCGGCAAGAACCCGTATGCGTCCAACCCGCGAGCTCTCGGTGAATCGATACACCACCACCAACATCTTGCGAGTACCACTTAGCGGGTCATCCTCGCAAACATCGTTTGTGATCTTGAATTCCTCATGCCGCTCAATCAGATACCGCAACCGGTCAATCACCGACTGCTTATTATCGTAAAAACGTGACCCATAAACGACCGAGAGAATGCAAACCGCCCTGTTGGCTGGGTAACTGACATACCCCTCAAGCCGACTAAGCGCAGTCTGCACGCGGACGGCATTGGTCTTGGCCGCCTCGACTCTCGCTGTGCAGCTTCCAGCGCGACGCGATGGTCGACAGTGGCTGTCTCCTGAGCCTTGCGGGACGATTCGAGCTGCTCCTGCGTGCGTGCAAGCTCGGCCTGCGTGATTTCGAGAGCCCGTTGCGTCTCAGCGACTTTTTCTGCGAGCTTGACGCATTCCGCCTGCGTGGACGCCACTGTCTCCTCTAGGGCCTGTTGGATGGGATCTGGTTTGGGGGCTGCGGGCTCGTCGACTGGGGGTCCGTTCTCGAATGAGAATTGCAGAAGTCCATCCTCGATCATTTGCACCGCCTCTGCGTCACTTGTTCTTAGGCCGTTGGAGATTTTGACCTGTCCCAGGGGTTAAATTATATCAATGCAAGGGCTGCAGAGGGTGGCGGAAAACTCACTGGCAGCCGAACGGCCCAGAGCTCTGGCGCCGTTACTCGATGAGTCAGTTGGAGACCTAAATTGCACAACCGTGGGCAAAATAATACAGTTTGTTGGGAAATCCGTCTATGCCCTGCTTGATATCTCTGCTAGCCCACTCTCCGCCATCTGTAATCGTTAGCATGGGACTGTTGAACTAGGATCTGCAATCTACCTGCTTCGAGCCAGAGCTCATTCAACATGCGAGTGTATTTGATACTTTCTTCATGATGGCCGACTCGAGCCGCAAAGTCCTCTTCAGCCCAGGAGTCGCTCATTAATCTCCCACCGTCTGTGGATATATAGTAATATCGGGCAAGGTCTGTGAGAAGGGGCAATAGCGGCTTAGAAGCGTCTTCGATTGCTGACATCCAGGGGCTATCCGGCGACATGTCGGGCAAGCAGAGATAAAGGATCAAAATTATAAACAGTACTGTCGGCCAATGGCGAGGATCCTGCGCATCCAAAAGCCGAAACGACGATTGAATGATGTACTCCATCATCACATTGGGACTGGCATCGAGACTATAGCTCGGTTTTTGACTAGTCTCGGTCAGGCATATCTCTGTCCATTCTTGCTCATTTTTCTTGTGGAGCCGCATAAATGGACTAAGCGGGTTGTACTCGTAGCCGCCATCAAAGGTGGCCAGAGAGCTATCTGCAAATACCCCCTCCTCAGTGCAGGGGACTGCCCAGCCATCCACAATACGAATATCCTGCACGACAAGAAGTAAGTGAAGGGCCAGCGCAATTACCGTCGTCTCGCTCGAAAGGTCGACAGGGACAAACGATGGCTCGGAACGGCGGAGAATTTCCAGCTGCAATCTCGCGGCGCTTGCCAGGATGTTCTCGGTGGCATGTTCAAAGTATCCTCTCCAGCGTCGTTCTAGTTCTTGGAATTGGACAAGAAAATCATGCAATGCCCCGTTAAACATACGGCTCTCGGATTGGCGTCTCAGTATCATTCCCAGATTCCACATCATTGAAGCAGTCAGTTCCTCTGATAGTGGACCGTAATTTAGTTCCATCAGCAGGCCGCATTTGGGATTTTGGCTGCTTCGAAAGGCCCAGCTGAGGGGCGGTATTCGAATGACCGCTACCACCTATCTTAGCTAGTAAGAATCAGTGGGTTTTTGCGGGCCATCATACCAGGTAAATCTTCCCCAGAATCACACTTTGGCCTCCTGGGAACATTGGCCGCTGACCGAAGAATATTGATCTTATTGTTGATGGGTGAAAACAGTCCGTGAAGCTGCGAGCACGTCCGAGCAAGAGCGCAAGCATCCTGGATTGTCGAAGTTTCGTAAAAGATCAGCAATAGGATCTCGCTCGGTAGATCTAAAAGTGTCAATTTTGTCGAAGCCATATTCGGCCACTTAAGGTGTCCACAGAGACTGATAGGTTATTCCCGCGTTGCCAACATTATGCGGTTTGTGGCCTCTTGTCGCGTCACGTGCATCATCCACCTCCGCGCCGCTTTGGGACTCACACCGAGAACAACTGCAATCGATTTGTTCGTAATCTGTATTGGTCATGCCATTGGATTTTCTCGAACTGACAGCGACCCCTTTCGATTTCACAGGAGCCGTTATCGACGGGAAACCAGCCAGTGGTCCGGTGCGTACTCCCTGTGCCTCTGCATGGTACAACAACGTGAACGCGGGTCAGTATGGACAGATGCACTCCATTTCCAATAGAATGAACAATCCTTAGAGATTCAAGGGACCTTTTTCTGCGGCTGGCTTCGATCAGCTCGGATGTTGTGGCCTTTACCATTTTTCGCCATGGTGTTATGTTGTTGATACTTACACTGGAGGAGGTTGAGGGCTTGGGGGCCGTATAAAATTTTCTGTGATCATGCATAGAAGAAGTTACACCGAGTCATCAGACGCTCACACGGACACATGACCTACTGGTATCCATTAGGATAGGATACGTCCCTTTGCTTGCGGAAGAGAATGCTCAGGGTCCCTACTGTTCCGGCACTATAGGACAGGGCTGTCTTATATTTGTGGCGCGTGTACAGCTCAACCCCTTTCATGGATGGTGCAGAAGTCTTCAAGGAAGTAATCATGTCCCTAGAGTAGCGTACAGGGCACTCGGTAGTGGATCCATTATTGATAGATATCATTTTCTGAGGCCTAGTGCCAATATTGATCAGTCCATATATAAAGCCAGTTCTTTCCTGAGAGTAACCATATATCTCAGGATTCAGCTCCAGGCTAACAAGCTAGGCGGGATTTAACCATGTAAAGATTAGGCCTTCCAAACCACTTGTCTAAATCAATGGAATGCAACATCGAGCTCAAGCGTAATTGATTCCACTCCATAACGATGACGCGAAAGCATGATGATCAGTAATTAGCAAGATATTCGCCGTGCCATCAAAGCTTGCCGTGTCGAGTAGAACCTTTAGGTATCCCCCACTGCGAAATATCCTCATTCGTCCGGCCATCGACTGCCAGCTCCGCCAGCACACGACCGAAAGCAGGGGCAAACTTGAAAGCATGGGCAGCACCCAAGCCAACAATGATATCCGGGTAATTTTCCAACGGGCTGATAATGAAACGTCGATCAGGCGTGATCGTATACTGACAAGTAATTGTGCGGAGCGGTTGGCGATCCTTGTCGGGAATAAAGCCATTCATAAAAGAGGTCAACTGCTCAAGCAGCTGCGGCGAGTGCACGAACGTGCGTTGCTCTGGCGTCATGAGATTGTTGGAATAATCCCGGCCAGCCTTGATGGTCGGCTCGCCGTAGCACGGGAATCCATAGAAGCAGTTGGCACCGTGCCAGATCCATACTGGGAATCGGTTGGGCTCAAATGCAGCTGCATCGGTGGGCTTGAAGTATGTCACTTGCTCCTGCATCACGGTCACAGGGATGTGTACGGATAGGGGAGCGAGAAGCTTATTGATCCACGCGTCTGTTGCGAGGATCACCTTGCCTGCTCGGAATCGTCCCTTGGGAGTCTCGATTACGACCCCACCGGAGGCCTGAGGGGTAACCCGGTCCACCGGGGTGTTGTCCTTTAAAATGGCGCCGTGCGACCGCGCCAGAGACTGCAGAGTGCTGACAGTTTTCGCGGCGTGCGCGATGCCCGAGTCGGCTGTGTACACTGTAGTCACGTTGTCGGGGATGGTGAACTGAGGCCATCGCTTCTTCACCTCCTGGGCGTCGAGCAACTCATACGGAACATTCTGACTGTCTAGACTTCTCGCAAAGTCGCTGGCTGATGTCGGTGAATCCGGAGCGAAGAAAACCACGCCGCCGGTGGTCGTCAACATCTCGTAGCCGGTAACTTTTTCCAGCTCGGCCCAGTCCTTGTAGGCTGATTTGGCCAACGCCACATATTCGGGGGCAAAATTTGAAGTGCGAACAATTCGCGAAGTATCATGGGAAGCTCCGCGCACATGGCCCAACTCGAACTGCTCGAAAGCAATCACTTTGGCGCCCTTTTTGGCAGCATAGTACGCCGCTCCGCTTCCAAGAACCCCAAGTCCAACGACTGCGACGTCAAAATGTTCCATTTTCTGTGTATCTGCCACAAAGATAGGTAATGACACCTGTGCATCATGAGTTGGCCCCGCCTTTATGAGTTACATGATCCCCTCTTGACCACACATGCCTGGATATCGGCCCGTCCACGTGACTCATATGCTGCGGAGATAGGTTAGATTACCTTCTGATTTACTATGTGATATTATTTCAGAAGAAATAAATCACCTAGATAAACAGGGAATAAAAATTGAGGCTGGATCTTGGTCACTTGCAGTCGGCGTTGAATCCGGGCCCCGTCATAGATACGCTCAGGTGATCGGGCACTTCTCTGCTCCCCGCACTTTCCCCGATCACTTGATCGGATATCAATTATGACGTCCGATGAGAGAGCCAGTAGAGCCACGATGATTGAGTTCACTACTTTCTATTACTGGAATACTGAGTGGTCCTAAGATCTCAAGAACCGAGGTAAAAGTGGCTCTACTTTTCTGGCTTGTTTCTCAGAGTTGTATAACAGTGTAACCAATTCGATTCAAATGGATAGATATAATCTAATTCAGGGAGAATCCCGTAATAACGACTCCAATCCTTGCAGAATGTCGGCCTTTAAATCATCAAACTCTTCAATACCGCAGCTGATCCGCAACAACCTGTGGTCGCAGCGCGCATCACTCATCGCCCGCCACTCCATCAAACTTTCCACCCCTCCAAGACTAGTTGCGTGCTGAAAGATAAACATTTTGCTGGGCAGACGGCGCGCATGTTTCGGGTTCTTCGTCCAAACAGCGAAAACGGGCCCAAAGCCTCCCGGCATCTGCTTCTTCAGCCAGCCGTCTTTCAAGTCATCCTCCTGAAGTGAGGCGTGTTGGACATGGCTCAGAACCTTTGCAACAGGAGACGTTGCGTCTTTCAGCTGCTCCTGTAACCACGCAGCGAGCTTTTGCGCCGTCTGAGCCTGTCTCATCACGCGGAGCTGCATGGTGCGAGCAGACCTGATCCCCAACCAGCCCTCGAAGCTCCCCATAACAGTCCCAATGTATTGGCGATCCGTACGCAGCGTTTTCAACCATCCCTCCTTAACCCGATCGGGATGGATGACCAAGATCCCGCAGAGCATATCGGAATGGCCACCCACATACTTCGTTCCACTATGCATCACAATATCGGCTCCAAAGTCCAAGGGGTTCTGCAGCGGGGGTGGCGCAAAGGTCGAGTCTACGGTCAAGTAGGCCCCCTTCTCGCTGGCTTTGGCGCGATAGTATGCAAGGTTTCGCGCCTCGCCGGTAGGATTGAGTGGTGTTTCCACGTGGATGATGTCCCCCGGGCCTGCTTGGTCGATCTGCGTCAGGTCCAGTTTTTGGATGCCTGTGAGTCGCTTGATAATGTCCACAACACTATGGCACCCATGGTATCCGTCTCCAATAAAGATTCGCTTGGGGTTGAGAAGGATAAGCATCGCGTGAAATGCCGAGAGTCCAGTCGAGTATGTAATAACTTCGCCGCCCATTAGGCTGCGCAGCAAGATCTCCAGGCGATTGGAATTGGGTGCTGTGTAGCGGGAATATATGTGCGAATCAAATGGCGCATTTGGCTGCCGGTCTCGTTAGGTTGGGACACAAAAGAGAAAATTAAGCTATGGCTCTTACATCCTTGTTCTCTTCGGGGACCAGCTCATCTGGATCGCGTGAATAGCGGAAATTTACCGCGGTATGCATGCCAGGGGCAATGGCACGGTGAGGACTGACGAAATCATCGGCATGAACGGCTCTGGTGGCCATGTGCATATCAGGCAGAGCATTGTTCAGGGCCTCAGCTGTTAAAATGAATTTTGAGGGATTCTCGGCAGCGTTGATTGAGCCCATAGTGTAGTGAGCTGTGTTCAAACAAGGAGAGTAGGGGCTTTACTGAAGGAAAATCTGTCATGTGGCTTTGAAGTAATGATAAATCCTTATAAGCGACAAACCCCATTTTGGGGTGCACCTGATCGGAGGACTCCGTGTTCATACAGTCATTAGCAAGCTTAATCACTAAAGGCCCGAGCCGTAGCAAGTCCCGAGCAGAGTTCTCGGCAGGGTTGCTGTCCAAATACAATCAGACAAGTGTGCATATAGATCAGACACCGCACGGCCCCATATCTTCATACATTTTCGAACTTGGCGCCAGTCGAGGGGAAAGTTGGCAGCTGACCAACATGCACGGCCCTTTTGGGAGATCAAGAGCTGATCACGCAGCTCGAATGGAGCTCAGAAGGAGGTTAACGCTTATCGTGTATTGTTGTAAGGAAGTGCGCCCCAGAAATGTAAACAATCGGCGACCCAGATATCCCCTGTTATCTCAAGACGCATCATTTGAAGGCCAGTGAGTACTGGAGGATCGTCTCAATTGCATCATACCGTTTTCCACACTAATTTTTAATCTCCTCTCCTAGAAGATATGCATCGAAGCCTAACTCCTAATATCCGATCCCGTGACCGGAGTCAACACCGACGGACCGGCTGGAGCTATGACCACTAACCAGTCCGTGGTACCCATCGATGGCAATGACCTGATGACGGAGAGTTTGACTTTGCGATAACACGGCGTGCTCTCCGTTGGCTCAATGCCGAGCTAGAGCTGTCATCATGTTTCCATTATGAGGTCGCGTGACCGGGGACCATGAATGGATTCAGGCACGACATGTGGAAGACATATATATTATGTCATGCCTGAGTATGAGTAGACCCCTTTCGTGCTGAGTTGTCTGCAAACAATCAAACTATCAAACTATCACCATGGCTGCTACAGTTGCGTCTTGGTTTGGGTATAAGCCCTCCGTCCTAGGAGACAAAAAGCTTACAGAAGAGCCACCCAAATCCCTCCCAGCTTCGTGGTACTACTCCCCAGAGATATATCAGTTGGAGCGAAGAGCTATCTTTTCCAAGAAATGGATTCTGGTTACCCACAAGTTGCGCTTCACAAAACCCGGTGACTTTCTTCGGTTTGAGGAAGCTGGATTCTCGTTTGTGTTGTGCCTTGATCGAGAAGGTAACTTGAACGGTTTCCACAATATTTGCCGCCATCGTGCGTTTCCACTCATCTCAGAGAACGAGGGCAACGCCAAGATTCTTTCGTGCAAATATCATGGATGGTCGTACGGTCTCAATGGAAAGCTGGCCAAAGCCCCCAGGTTTGATGACGTCCCGGGGTTCCAGAAAGAAAATCAGAGCTTGTTCCCTGTACATGTGCATACTGATGCTTTGGGCTTCATCTGGGTGAATCTCGACTCTTCTCCAGATCCAGTCCCCTGGGAAGAAGATTTCTACGGTGTCGACCGACAAGAACGATTCCAGAGGTTCGACTTTACCCAGTACAAGTTCGACCATACATGGCAGATGAACGGCGACTATAACTGGAAGACACTGGCAGACAACTACAATGAATGCTACCATTGCACTGTTGCGCATCCCGATGTGGCGAAGCTGGCTGATCTGTCATATTACTATACTGTATCCACACCGGGGCATATCCAGCATTTCTCCCGACCGAAGCCGGATAAAGTTGATGAGGATATCCAGAATGCCAGCACTTATTACTTTCCTAATGCCTGCATGACAGTCTCGTGAGTTGCTTCTTTTTTCATTTGGGATTCTCAACATCCTCATTCACTGACGACAAAACATCAATTCACTCCAGGCCTCATTTCTTCTACATGATGCGATGCGTCCCAACGTCTGCAGCAACTTGCTCCATGGAATACGAGGTCTACCGGCACGTAGATGCCTCGGATGAGGACTTTGAATACATTGACTCCTTCTTCAAGAGAGTCCTGGACGAGGACAAACACCTCTGTAATGCTGCCCAGAAGAACCTGAATGCTGGAGTGTTTGTTAATGGTCAACTTCACCCTGACCTGGAGAGTGCGCCGTTGTTCTTTCAAAATACTGTCAGGACCCTACTCCGAAGTCACCGGGGTGAGGAGCGAAGGTTACACAGAGAGATCTGGCCAGCGCGGCAGCATTCAGCAGGTCAGGCAACTGTAGAGGATATCGCTTTTTGTTCAGGGTTAGCATGCTCAGTTGATGGATCTGCTGAACTGGAATGGTAGCGTCGTATGCGCAACGGGATCTGATTTGATAGGCTTGGATAACTTGGATTTGATGGAATGTTTCCAGTGCTTTAATTGATATACCCAGAACTCCCTTTGAATATGATGGTATGTTTATTTACTCAGGCGATGCAGTCCTGAAGGACAAGGCTATTTGATGTACATTACGTTTATCTAAAAAAAGAAAAATAAGAAACAAGAAATAAGGAACCAGACTTACGTTAACCTTTTCCACTTCGGGGTATTGTTTCCCTGGGTGGGTCACAAGTTCCAACGGTGCCAACTGGCGGTCGGATAGCTTCCGCGTGCTATGATGCAGAAGCCGATACCCCGCGCTCCTTCGGCTTTAAAGGCACCTTTACGCCATAACCTATCTTATCAGCGTGTTTTATATCCTCCGTTTCTCTGCCTTCTGCAGGTGCTCCTGATGAATAATCGTGTTAGCAAGAGGTCGCATCAAGCCTGTGAAAACTGTAGGTGAGTCTGAGGCAGGAAAAACGATTATTTGTAAGAAGCGTTGATTGCCGACTCTCAAGTAGGCGGAAGAAGACCCGATGTCCGGGCGAGAGACCGGCATGTTCAAGCTGTACGCGGCTTCAACAAACATGCCAGTATAGCAGGAGTCATGACTCGTTGCAGAGATCCCCCGGCAGCGACCGGGTCTTGGTACGGCTGGCTGGTCTGCGAAGCGAAGAATAAGCAGACTAATTCGAAGCAGGAGAACCGGTTGCAACAGCTTGAAGAGAAGATGGAATCAATATTGGAAGGGTCAATGTGCGGATGGCTAACATTCCTTGCCACGGGAAGAGTGAGTGCTAATTGATGCAGACCCAGTCGCGATATTGAAACCCCCAAGGCGTATTCTCGCGGGCTCCACAGTCGCGGGAATACATCGGAATCAAGCAGGTCGCAGGAAATGTCCATGACGCCGGGGAATCCTAGTGATGAGACAGCTCTTGAGAATGCAGATACGTTGCCCTTTGCGATGCCGCCGAAAGAGATCGTCGCGGAGGGTATTGCCCTTTATTTCCAATACTGCCACAAGCAACCTCTATGGCTGTTCCTCCCGGATAGTCTTTCCGTTCCAGATCGATGTCGCAGCGAGGTGCTGTTTGGCATACTCAGTCTTGCGCTGCGCTACTCGAACAATCCGTTTCTAGATGGACGAACAAACCAGATGTGTCGACAATATGCCGAAGCCGCTCGCAGCTATGTCATGTTTCGAATCGTCCAGGGAACCGTGGACCTTTCAACGTTACAATGTCTCTGTTTGATTGCACTGGCTGAATACATTGGTGAGAATTCATCATCGACTGTAAAAAAGACACCTCATTAATGTGTCCACAGCTAATGACACCCATCTCGCCTGGCTCCATATTGGGCTTGCCACAAACCTCGCTAAATGTGCAGGTCTTGACATTGAGCAGCACGAAGGCGAATATACGCCAGCATTAGAGGAACGACGAAGAGTGTTCTGGAGCATCCATCTTCTCAACCAGCAATACGCTCCCCACAGCATGCAGTTGAATATGCTGCGGGACATTCATAACCCGAAATACATGGCTGTCAACATTGATTCTCCACGGGAAATGGGGATGAAACCACCTCAGACCCCGCAAGAAAACGATGCCTTAGGGGGCATCTGGGTTTACATGGTACAGCTATCCACTCTTTGGAGCGAAGTGCAGCATTATGTTTCGCACTGCGCCAGTGGAGATCCCACGCCACCCTGGTCGGTGGACTCTGGATATTGTATCATCGGGGCTCATCTGATGGACATTGAAACGAAGTTTCCCACCACCCATCGATACGATTCCGTACGGTTTCAGGAGCGGTCGCCAGAAGAATTAAATCGTGCCCGTGAGTACTGGAGTCCCTGGCTGTACCTCCAGTTCACCTACCATGCAGTGCACAGCGTTCTGAATCACCCTTTCCTTTACTCGTGGCGACCTCAGCAGTCCGCCCAACTTGCAGTACCAAACACGTTCTGGAAGACATCATCAGAGCTGGCACTTATCCACACGACGTGGACGGCTCGCCTCATTGACATGATTGGCGAGAAGGATTACCAACTGTCTGACCCGTTTCTTGGCCATGTCGTGGCCATCGCGGCAACAATTCTCATTTACTACTGCCGTGCCGCAGATCCGACCGTGAGGGACTCCGCTCAACGGAAGCTGGAGACTTGCACGAGATTCCTGAGTGACTTGGCCACCAAATGGCCCCGAGTCCAAGCAATTGTGAGTCCAGATCAACTGCCCTCGATCGTCCGCTAACGGGTTAATACAGCATCAGAAAGTCCAGGGGCTCATTCACTCAGCATTCGCCGTCAGTCCGCATTCGGGGGATCACCGTTCACCACGCCGGACGTTATCAATAGATACGTCATTGATGTGGGACATTCTGTGCTATAATTCTACCAAGACTCCATTCGCTTCGCCGGGAGACGGTCTCTTTGATCCGTCATTTTTACAGCCCCCTGGGCAGAAGCATCCAGATCGGACGACAGTCGAGACTGAGATCTTCCATCATTCCGCCAGGACGGTAGACACGTCTGACGGAGGTCAAGCGCTGCCGCCGTGCTCAAGTACAGTGCGCCATCGGGCCGCTTCCGAAAACTCGCAGTCAGAGCCTTGGAGCAGTACGAACTCGATTGCAGCTGGCAATGGCCCAAGCCAAGGACCACTACCACGGGAACCGTTGGGCTTGTCAGGTTTGGGGTTTCCAGGTGATGTGTCGTTCATGGACGTTACGCGTGATCCATTTTTCCAATTTCAGGACCACGAAAATCCTTACCAAGGGATTTGGGAAATTGGAAACCTTTGATATTGGCTACTACAGCCCCTAGGCGTCTGATTAACTATTAATAATACCAAGTATAGAGTTGCGTCTCTGAAATTGTACCTATAGAATAGTCATACCCCACTTCTACATTTCCATCTGTGGAAGTCTGAGTAGCCGATGGCTTTTTCTGATTTCTTTGCAGTTTGATTAAAGACCGGCCTAAAGTCTGCGGTATTGTTAGAATGAGATAAGACTCTAGAGGCTTCACTAGGACTCTTCTTACAAGCAGTGACTTCCAGGGAACATACGTGGTATGAGAATGGCAGAACATCCGACGGTCAGCAACAAACCCCAGTTGCATTCTTAGGTTCGCTCTTGTTCGTTTCGTCGATTCCGTCTAAAGGGGGATGCTAGGAATCGGAATCCTGAACGACAGCTCCTCAGGATGAAGAGAATATTATCAAAGCCAAGAGGGACCGACATGAGGAGAATGATGCAGATTGTGAAATTGACGTGGGAAGAAATGTTATTTCAAAATCAGTGGATTGTAGAAGGCTGATATGGACGCTTTCAGATAAGGGGGAGGCTATGCTTAGGACTATGGTGGCTGTGCTTGGATGCCTCGTAAGGCGGACTGTTTCTACAAAAATGGACTTTTGGATTATTATACTAATCACTGCATGTACTACCTATTGTCATAAATATCGTATACCATATAGTCAGGATACTAATACTATATACTCGGAATATTGAATCATCAGAGCCTCATATCGTACCAGGGTGCGGAAGACAGGTTCTCGCCTCCATTGACCTGTACTTAAGCCATATATGAAATGCACTCAAAGGTTTAAAGAGTACATTTGCCTCCAAAATAATTATGTGACACTTTTAGCATGAGTATTAGTGATATTGTGAGGGTCTGATTATAAGGTCTCTAGGAGCTGATGAAGACATCAACAGGCCACCATACAAGAGAACAATACATAGTTAGTCGGTATAAATGAAACAAAGCCTTTTCTAGACCGCTGATACTTGGGCAGACCCATCAGAAGTTTTTTTCCTCTCGTAACAAATCGAGGTGCTTTCGGCCATCTGAGATCCTAAAAAGTTCTATGGTCCTGATCCCTACTCCGCGCTGTTGTGATTGGACCATGCTATATATAACAACTACAAATGACTCGAGACTGTCCTTAGATTTCTAAAATACGGGTTCTAGACGGACACCGGAATTTATTTGAACCTGTGAGACGCCTCTCTGAAGCACCTTTCTGTGACGACAGTGAGCATGGTTCTGACAGGGGCAAGGCGCCTACATCTTAAAGTGGCCAACTCGATCGATCTTTGTCTGGAATCTACGGAGTTCCTCGGACAAGGCTGACAGACGTTGGAATGACTTAGCCCTCACTAAAATAAAGCTACACGCATACAAAAGTCCCTAGCCTTGGGGTTACAAAGTATGATTAGCCGCCCACACCGACATGTAACAAGGCTGAGGTATTTATTTGTGAGGTGTGCCGCATGAATAGATTCGTTGGCATCCGGTAAGGGTGCTTCAAACCCCGAAGATTCTTGAAACTACACTCAGCGTCTCAAATGTACATTAGACATGTGAGGTGAAGTGGTTAGGTTGACCAGATATATATTGGCATCGCTCCCTTCATTCGGGCCCCTAGATCCAGACGTCTTCTCTGACCTAATTAACATGAGTAGTATCCGTGCCCCACCACGGGCCTTGATGGGGTCGAGGAGTGTTGACGCCGATGAACAAAACACTTCAAGAAATGGCTCCGACCGACATACACGTTTTGAAAGTTGGCAACATGCTTACCTTGATAGGTTATGGATGAATAGACTCATATCAGTCTTCGCTCCAGAATTACCTACATTACCTCTTTCTAATGCTACTCATATACAACACTCTCCAATCGTGGAAAATGCGCCTAAGCTTCTGACCGCGTCCGCAGGGGACAGCCATTCCAGTGGTTGCAATATCTCAACAACATCCACTGGTAACAGAAATAGAGGACGTATTGATCATGAAAGCGCCGAGCGAACGAGGACAAGTTCTCCGCCTCCTGTCGTTAAAAAAGGGTCACACGAGAGTCGCAAAAGTGACCTAGGAAAGGCCTTGGAGCCGATGCTCGGAGATGGCATAAGTGCTTCAGTCCTTCTCTGCTGGGGTGAAAAGCACCGTTGTCACATTATGCCAGTGAATATTGACAATTCAACTGACGAAAAGGCCGTTTGGGAAGACATCCGCCAAGCATGGTACTCTCACAGAGGGGGCTGGAGAAGGTATTTGCCTTTCTTTGGAGTTAGGCAGGTGGATATTGTCAAGGTCTGTCATGTCAGAGGACAGCGTGCAGTTTATCTCCTAGCGGTACTGACATATCTTTCAAGATCTCGATCGCTGGCCTGAAGTCAGGAGGCAAAATGAAGCCAAAAATTTATATGGGAACGTATACCACAGAGGATTTGGCTGGCGAAAGGAGACGATTGGAAGAGGTCATTACGAATTACCGACCCCAAGAACCCCCTTGCCAATACAATCTATCGACCGGCAGGGTGAACTGTCTGGACACTTGTGTCTCACACGTGATAGAATATGAAGAATGCCCTGAGAAGAAGTATCATAAGGCGCTAAGGGAACTCTCGCGTCTCGATGCGAGGTCCTTATTGACACTGTTCTTTTCGGACGCTGATCTTGCTGCTTTAAACGGCTTCCTTAACAGAGAAGGGCTAGTGTATAGCCACCTGTAAGTGGTGACCTGCGCTCTACAATTACCAGAAGTCTAATTGTGAGACGCAGTGATGTCCTGAGGAGATTTGACGAATGGCATTGCCCTGAATTAGGCGAGCTGCGATTCCACGGTGTACGGATCCAAGAGGATTGGGAATTTAGTTTGCGGAACATTGTCTTACCTTTCGTGGTTAGCTTGCTTTTTGTTCTGGTCGTCGTGGCCAAGCTCACTTTTGGGGACTGGGCAACGGCATGGAACGTCGGCTGCTTCTTTGTCGCTTTGGCAACGCTGCTATGGATGTGGGCTGAATATTCTGTTAGACAGTCTGCTTAAGGCAATTACATTTAATCACAAGACTCCTGAAGATACGAAGAGAGGAGTAGAATACAAAGAAATACCTTGCCATTATAAAGATGGTACTAAGAATTTTACTAAGAAGGTTACGACTGGATGTTATCGACATAACGGCTTACCGACAGAGAGCGCGAAAGTTCAGAGGCCAATCTGTAGTCCACGCCTTTGTATGTGTCTTAACTCCTTGAATCACTTACAAAAACCCAATTGCAGCGGCAGCGACAGCCGCCACAGCAGCCTGACCAAGTCCCATATTGCCCGACGCAGCGTTCGCAGCAACAGCGGCATCATTTCCAGCCGTTTGCGTCGCTGTAGAACGTATCTGCGTTGTTTCAGACAGTGTCTGTGTGGCTCGAGACGCCGTCAACTTCTCCGCGCCAGCAGTCACCACAACAGGCGTATACCAAATGTCGCCAGAGTGAAGGGTAACGGTCGCCGAGGACGTGGTGATGGTCTTTCTTCCGAGAACCGAGACCTCCACCTTGGCGGACAGTGTGCATGTGGCCAACTCCGTGGAGGATGTGACGTCGCAATCTTGTACTACAGTGTGGGTTTCCTCGACCCCACCGGCCGAGGCTGAGTAGACTGCACTCACGCTGTAGGTGGATGGGCCCTGGGTGATTGTAAAAGGGCTGCAGAGCGCGCAGCGAGCGTCCGGCGGATATATATTTCCCTCACACTTGATGGCGAGAGTGGTGGCAACAGCATTGGCATCGACGACACTGGCCTCGATGGCGTGCAGAGGAAGGGTCGTGGGGGCGGGTTGGAAGACTTGGACTTCGGTTGCCCCCTCGGAAGCAGTGGCAGCCAGAGCTGCAAAGAGGATAAAAGCAGAGTGCATCTTGGGGAGTTTGATTGAGCAAAGTTGTGGCTGAAGACCTGGGGCAGGTAGTAATGAATGTCAAATCGCTGTGCAATGCGCTCATCTTATATGTGAGATGTGAGATACCAGGAATTGTTCTGCCTTGCAATAACAAGGGCAATCCTTGAAGACAGCACATTGTGTTACATTGCGGTCCGGCACGATCTCCCATATCCATTGGACTTTTCCTTCACTTGTCACGTCTGGCTTCGATATCTGGCATGCTAGGATCGACGGATTCCATGTCGCCTAGCCTTTTCTATCCCCATCAAGAACTGACTGCGCCACTGCGAGGCTCGCACCATAAAGTAGCTCCTCAAGGGCCGATTGGTGGTTGTTTGTCCGATTTGCAGACGCTGAGAATATCGTCTGTCTGTGTTACAGGGATGACAAGATTACAGAGGAGAAAATCCAGACGAGGAACCCGAAGCACAATGATGGTAAAGGAATACGAAAACAATCTATCATTCGAGTCAGTCAATCTACCAACCCCAGTTGTACATACCGACAGCACACTGTAATCTGCGTCATTCAGTGGCGTATTTCGGGCTGAAACTAACATCAGTCAGAAGTGTCAGACACTGCAGGAAGTCTATCAGTGCAGCATTGACCGCTGCACTCTTCGTCCTCGAGTTTTGTAACTCGCGTAATCTGGATTTCTGCCCTTCTGTGTCGGACGCCTGATGACGGCCGCGGACCTTTGAGCTGGGTCGTTTGTTAGCTCTATCAAACGCCCCTCTTCGCTGTCGATAGCCAGTTGCTGAATATTAATTGAACGAGTAACGAATGGAAGCTTCAAGGGAAGGTCGCGAAGAGAGCCTCGCTGCTTGTCCAGCGATCGATAAACCGAGCAAGTGGCCTTTGACGTGAGCTCGTTTTTGTGGAGCAGTCGACATTTGTTGGCCTAGCGTAGCTACAGTCTCACGCATTGCTCCAACACGATAAACTGAACCGCGCTGATAACCCCTGGGATAAATATTGATGGTGAATCTGTGGCGGGAGTCCGCAAATTGATCTTTGGCGCAGACATGAGGCTAGCAAAGCGGGATACATGCCGCAGAACCGAGTACAAGCTGAAGCCGATAGTGGTGTGAGTGGTATGCAAGATATGTCTGTTGTCTTTCTCATAATGCCATCTTGAGCCTTTCCACCGGGACCTGAACGTAAATGAAACAATCCGGTAGAAGGATCGATTACTTCGCGGTCGACCGCCAGTTACCAGACTATCCACCAACAGGCCAACGCTACCTGTAGCCAGCTTAATTACGAATAGCGGTGCGCACACGATGACCGTGGCGCGAATGGCACCGTTGAAAATTAACGAGAGGTCGCAGGGGTCAATTGGCACTTGGAGCCGAGGCTTCGTAGCTCGACGAGCAAGCCTTTCGGAAGTCCGACTTTCGCAAATTGTTCCAGGCCCTAAAACCCCATGGACGCAATCCAAGGGCCACGATTACTTGGTCTGCGAACCTTGCAAAATACAATGTATGTTAGCCTCGTGTCCTTCTTCGGTATGGATGTCGTCCTGCCTTTTTCTTTTCTTTCATATGTCATGACCTTTGGTTTTCCCCACATAGAGGGCAATCGCCGCAATCCGGGCCGCAATTACAGTCCCCTCCCGTCCATGCCAAGTACGGATGTCTCACCAGAGCGCACCACACATTTTGGTACAGATTAAATTGCCAAGGAGGACAGATCTAGAATCCAATCAGCTTTAAGTAAATAAATGTGTGCAATAGTCCATACCAGAACTGCCTTGACACTTGGCCGCGTTCCGTCGATTGCTGAGCGATTTACGGCACTCTCAGTTTCAGCAGGCGCTGCATGTTTGTGTATGCCTTAAAGCCATAGGCCCATAGTACACAACAAGTCACTTCCACTGCGATGGGAACGGTTTTCGGGAAGCATAGCTGGAACCGAACAAGATCTCTTTGTCCCATGCGTCCCAATTGGCACCGGGGAATTTCCCATTGCATTGAATGCATGGAGGCGCTCGCCAAGCCTGACTCAATTACATTCGGTCAAGGCTGATGCCCGTTGACCCGCAGGGATATATTGCTGAGCCAACCAACAACCAAGAATGATGTGGGTTCGAGTGGCGATGCCTTCAATCGGTAAATGCACAGTCCAATAGATGGATCTTCCGAGTAGAGGTATTTGCCAATTTGCCAGTGCGCAATCCTGCCGCGGGGCACCGCAATTCACGTGTCTCTAGATGCAAAGATAAAGCACTGGAGGTATACTTCCTGGACAAGGTGTACCCTTGCTCTTCATAACGCTGTCCGAAGTTGGAATCTTTTACCTCATCACCCCTGTTAGTTATATCCTCGGACATGATTGCATTGGCCTTGTCCTTGAGGCCTATATTATGTGCTCACATCAGCAAGGTCCAATGTAACCATGTGTAGAGGGAAGAAGGCTCTAGATCTCACCTATAGCAATAGCTCATCCGTCCCTGTGTTTGTGTAGCATCTCCTCGTTGCAGTGCTCTCAGCCTGCAGTAATTTCCTGGAAGTGGATCGAAGCAGCAAGCCCAACCGGTCCCGAATGTTGAAGCTCAGGTATCTGGAGCAATTGAGCGTTCTGATCCACCAGGGGTGAAAGGTATAACAGAGAAAAAGGAAGATGTCTAAGAGTGGCCTGATGGTGGGTATTCATAACCCGGCTCTACCACTGAAGGGTTGGTTTAAGGGGAGTCTTGATATTTAGGTGCTGCTTGACTGTATCCCACGTTGATGGTGCCACAGTTTACTATAACCAGGAGTATTGCGTGAATATCATGAAGTGATCCACTATTTTTTGATCTAGATATTAACGGTTGTAAAAATGCCATGGATTATCTTAGTACACAATCTAGGAAAATTCCGCGCATATTCACAGATCCACTGTTGACACCATCACCTCATCTTTGTTTTCCGATATTCACCTTGCTCCAAGAATTCAGCCTCATCTGCCTCACATGCGCGAGTTATAAATAGTCCCTTCTCACCTCACTTCTTCTCTGTTCCCCTCTTTCATCCCTCTCCATTCTCATTGTCAAGCTTCTCCAAGTCAACATACATTCTACTCTTCCCAAATCAACAAAACCAGTTCAAAGGCAATTATCAAAATGGTTGCTATCAAGAGTCTCTTCAGCGCCCTCCTGGCCACCGCCCTCATCGGCAGCACCAGCGCCCTTCCAGTCCCCAAGACTGTCAAAGACGTCGTGCACAGCCTCAACGAGGCCGCAAACAAGTACACCAACCTGCACAACGCTGTCAAGGCTTTCGACGGACAGGTCGCTCAGTACACCGCCATCACCAACAAGGAGGCTGTCGTCGAAGCATCTCTTCATCGCGCCGTTGACGCCGCTCATGCCACTGCTCCTCTTTCCGACGAAGACAGCAAGCTTGTGATGCAGGCCCTTGCGCAGCCTTACCCCGAGTTCATGGGCAATCTGCTTAATGATATCGTTGCCAAGGTAATTTAATCTTTTTCGCCATAACGGGATGGACTAACGTTCAGAATAGGAACCTCAGGTGAACCAGATTGGCAAGAGCGGCGATATGCTGCGCATTCTCAAGCACCTGAGAGTTCTCTCTTCCGAGCTCCCTGATGCTCTTGAGAAGATTGTGGATGCCAAGAACGCGGAGGTAATTGACGGTGGAGACAAGTGGGCTCAGGGATTGTTTGCTGATGCTATCAAGGCTTACTCCCACTGAGGGATTTACTAGACATGTTTTGATGTGACATGATAATGTACTTAGGACTTTGAATCATTGGAGTTACGGCCATGATTGCTATGACCAGCTGCAGTTTAAGTTGAGACTGCGTTGAATGAATGCATTGTTTATGACTATTTAATCCTGTTAACAGTTTATATTTTGTTAGCACGCAAGTCCCAGGCTCCATACATAAAACCTAAAATGTAACTTTGAACATCCGGTGCGTCCGAATCGTCTTCCCATAGTAGTAAAACACCACAGGAAGTGGCAGCATCGTCAACGCAATGAACCCCAGCATCGAATTCCCCCATCCCAGCCCTAGCCTCGCATACATCGCCGGCCCCGCGAGCGGCAAAAACGCCCCTATCAACGATCGGACCACCGTCAACGAAGCCGTCACTGAAGCCGCATGCTCACTGAATGCATCGACTAGATACGTCTGGATAGGCAAGAAGGACGCCAGCATGCCGAATGCCACCCACCCGGTCCCCACGATAGGCATCATCCAGTGTAGCTGTTTCTCGGCGGACCAGCCGTACCAGAACAGCCCAATCGGGATAAAAAGGCTTCCCGGGATGAGCGGTGGCATGCGGAATTCAGGCTCGCGTACGCCGTTGTTTCTTTTCGTAAGGTAGATGAGGATTTTGTCGGAGATGGTGCCGAAGACGAGGAGCCCGATGAGGGAGCCGATGCCGATCCCGAGGTAGGTGAGGCCGGAGGCGCCTCGGGAGAAGTGGTAGGTGGTTTGATAGACGGACGTGATGGTCGTGAAGAGGAGGTAGAGATACCCATAGATGATTCCTGGTTCAGTCAGCGGAGTGAGTCGGTGAGTGCATGTGTGTACGTACCGAGGTAGACGGAGAAGATCGCCACGATGGGAGAGAGAAAAAGCATTTTTGTTGGGCGGACGATTGACCGGATGAAGTTGTCTCTGGCGCTGATGTTCGGAGCGAGTTTAGATCGCAGCGTCATGTTACCAGTCTCTTTTTTGAGTTTGTCAACGCGACGTTGCAGAAGTACCGGTTCGTAGCTTTCCGTTTGAACGAGGAGCGAAAATGCAAATACCGCACCGGCCTTGACAACGTCAGAGGATGCTTTGCTCCTATGTCAGGGAGGGTACTGACTGCCATGGAAATGGCCCAGAATATCCACCTCCACCCGGCCGCTTCGGCCAGATATCCCCCAGCAATAGGACCAATCACCGGCCCCATCAACGGACCCATTGAATAGATGGCCATAGCTGCACCTCGTTCTTCTGGAACAAATAGGTCTGCA